GGACGCAAGATCATCCTGCGGAACAGGCTGGGGTGGTCAGACCCTTTTACAAGTCTACAGTAGATTAAAATACGTTTAGAGTAGCTTACTGCTGTGTGTACTGTAATCCGAGCCGATGTTTATCCATGGTGTTGTATTTCTCGCCTGCTGGACGGAATGTCCTGTCTTCCCTTGGTGATGTCAGCCGACCACGGCGGGCCTTCAACGCGGACCTGGGGCAGGGACATGACCTGGGATAGACGCGAAGTGGAGGCCGGCGGCCATCGGTGAATCCCCGAGCGAGGGAGGCTGAGCAGCACCGAGCACCGCTCCAGAAGCCTCCAGACGAGTGGCCAGTCCGCCAGGCCGTCTAGGTCATCAGGGCTAATCCGTAGAGTGAATTCAGCGGACGATGGGACCTCGGCGGAGCCGAACGAAGCCAGGCCCGAGATCGATTCCAGCAACTGCACCCGCCGCAGAGCAGGAAAGGCGACGACGGGCCGCGGCACCTCCGCCACGAACTCGCAGTCCAACAGGTGGAGCTCCTCCAGATCCCACCCCAGGGAGGCCAGGATCTGATGTAGGTCCAGGCCGCTGGAAAACTCAATCTCGAGTTTCCGGAGTCGGACAGGTCGTCCGCACCAGCTAATGCTCTTCCGCTGCGCGCCCGCGATCGACAGAGAGCGGAGCTGCGGCAGTCGCTGGAACTGCAGCAGGGCACAGGGGCCCTGTCCCTGCCGAGGGCATTCCAAGCAGTAGCAACAAAAGTTCAACGCCAGCGTTTCCAGAACGGGAAGCGCCGGAAGCACGCACAACCCGGGTTCGTGTTCGATGCAGGAGATATGCAGCTGACGCAGGTGATGAAAAGTCATCGGAGCCGTCCAGATTCGGGGAGACATGAAGTCCACGCTCAGGCTGCGCAGCGACGGAAGGCCGGCCAGCCGCACCAGAAGCGTCTGGAAGCTGCCCAGGCTGGACGGATAGCTGATGCTGTGTCACGGTCAATCAGTATCAGAGATCGGCAGTCGACAATAAAGGGAGGTGTCCGCCGGGGAGAACATGCCTGAACGCACGGAGACGGTCCAGCGTGGCCAGGACGTCAAAGAACCCGGGCTCGAGAAAGTCCTCGTCGCCCCAGACATCCATCGTCCGAACGTGCGAAGACCACTGGGCCACCATCGCTAACAGGCGGCTGGACGACGGTGGGAAGCGCCGAGTGTTCAAGTCCGTCGCCTGCGCCCCATCGAAGCGGATCTCCACGCCGCGGAAGAGGGGGCGCGCCGAGGCAACGCGCAGTGCCTCACAGCTGTTGTAGACATTCCAAAGGTGAACTGCATCCAGCTAAGACGCCCCGTTAGCCAGCGAGGCTCAAAACGCACACAGTGGCCGCTGGAGGGAAGTGTCGCAGTGGCTTACATTCTGGAGGATGAGATCAAGGATCTCAGCCGGGAGAGCAAGAAGGGGCATGATCGAGGATTCGACGGCGCATCGGCATCCCAGACCCCTCGTGGGCGGCGGGTAGCCTGGAGGTGTACATATAGACCATTGGCCGTGCAGGAACAAACTGGCCAGGGGCAATGCCTCCGACACGGCTTCGAACATCCCAGGAAGCGGGATGGGCGTCAGCAGAGACCATTCAGGGAGCACCGCAAGTGCACCAAAGGTGGCGGTCGAGGAGCAAGCGAGTATTCAACGCAAGACAGTCCACCATCCACACAGGCGGTGGCGGGAAATCCAGCATAGGGCTGTTGAACACGAACGCGCTGCCCTCCCGCCACCCCGACCATGGGCAGTGCCTCGAAAAACCAATGTAGAGGGTCGCGCGAGATTATGTTCGGCAGCCCTCATGTGAGGACCTCAAATTTCATCCGGGCCCCAGGCGAAGAACGGGTCCCATGTCCATCACCAGCCTTGAACTTCCACCGCAAGGGTTTCTGAGCGGACCGCTTTTCTCCCCTCCCTGCGGTCTCCATAGTCCTCAGTCCTTCTCTCATGGTGATGTGCACATACGCTTGGCCAGTGTCAGGGCGCGCATCGGATGCGTTCTGACGCTAGTTTTCTCTCCGTCTGTGCGTGCGTCTTTCTTCAACAACGAGTGAGGTGGGTCTCGAGAGCCCCGCGGGTTTTCCCTGGTCCGGTGGGCAGCAGAAGGGCGATACACAAAGCTATAAAGAGACCGTAGACGGTGAATAAGATGGCCCTCCTACGGTTAATTGCCTCACGGTCTGTCGACAGAGACGATGGACGCCACGCAAACGGCGGCTGCAGCAGCGACGGAAGGCCGCGCTGATCCTGTCTCATGGCCAGGTTCAGGCTATCCCACATGGTCTTCCATCCGCTCGAATATCACCCGTCCTGATACTTTTCACGACCAGCAGTCACTGACCTTGGGGCAGCATTTACCGGCCTTATCACTGCCGCTGAAGCGCCACATCTACGAAACCGACGTGTTCGCAGGAACCATGGCCCCCAAAGCGGAGAAGAACGGAGGATCATCCCAGCGGGTCTGCTACAGATTCTGCGCCGACAGTTGCCGGAGCAGTCCCCCAGTCAACGGCATGGCGTCCAGCACAGACGCCGCCATCCGCCATGCACGAAATCCAGACCCCAAGCCTTACCAGCCCGTCGGCCGCACCATGGTATGCGATGGCGCCCTCTGGTATAACATACTTGTCAGTGTTTGGGAAATCATCTGCATTTCTGATGAGGCCAACTATAAGCCTTACTACAATAGTCGATGTGAGCGCCTTTGAGACTTGTTAATATAATGTTGATATTTAATACCGAGCATATCTGGACTTTTTCTTTAATTGGTGTAATCGACAAATAAGTACGAGATACCTTTGGAGTACCGATATGTTCCAACCCTAATGAAGCTAATGTCTTGTTTATTACTCCCCGTAAGCCCTTAAAAGGCAAATCACCCTGGCGAGCTTATTGGGACAAGCAAGTTCATGAAAAGGACTACCGCTATTTTACTAATAAGAAACTCCAAACTCCTATAGTAGTCGGAGTGCTCTCCCCCAAGCGAAGCCCTTCAGCGCAGAGTACATGAGGTGCATACTAGTTTTGAAGTGACAGTGTATGGCTCCGGAATTATAAAAATGCTGGGAGAAGCTGTCTCTTTTCGTATGGTGTCTCAGCGGAACAAGACACTGGCTATCCAAGGCTCTAAGAGTTACCAGATATTCGGGATCTCCTTGGAGGGAAATGGCCTTCCAAACTGGCACATTCTATAGATTGCACGGACGAAAATGAGGAGGACGAAATAATTTCGGGTATTCTATTCTTCTTTTCCAAGACTATTGTTGGCTCATCCCTTGCTTGGGCTGCAAGTAGGTATTCCCAGGTAGCACTCTTGGCAGAGTTATTGTCCGAGAGACAGCTAAGTTCAATTGTATCATAGACCTTTACTTAGCTGGTTCTGTCTTACTACATGCCGGAATGGGGTACGCGTACTTTGATCTTGGGATTCGAAAAATCTGCCAAGAACTTGGAGCGCTGGCTCGGAGTCCGATTGTCCGTCCCATCAAACCGTAGAAGGACCACCATGGTGGAGCCAGATGCGCTATATATGCACTGAGACATCAGAGCTATCACCTAAGAACTAGTTGTTATCTAAAACTGCGGGTCTGACAACCCGTCTGTAACTAAGGCAAACTCTAGGCAATGCAGTTTCTTATCGACGAGAGCGCTACATGCACAAACGTAACCTGAAAGCCCCGCAATCTAGTAGTTTTATCAGTGGGGCCCCCCATGAGAATTCCGCTTCTGATCTAGGGTCATGATGGCTACGACATAGGGATGCATCGATAGACCGAGTGCCGAAGTTGCAGTTCGGTGTTCGGGGGCTTAAGGTAGGATTCGCCACAAACGCCTCAGCCGACTTTTGGGTGGCATCTCGCTTATTTGTCCCAAGGGTCTGACGTTCGTATGACTAATCGCATCCGCGCTTGTAACCACTCTGCGTGTACACAGGTCATCTCCCCGCCACTGCGAGGTGGGATGACCCTTACCCCTAAAGCACGTGATTGCCAAGATAATTAGTAAGCAGAATAAGTCAGGTTAGGCTTATAAATCCTGAAGATTGTTACTGAATTCCAGTTTTTTTTGTACTGTATTTTATTATTTTAAGACAGCAGCGCTTAGAAAATATATAAAGTAGTTTTTAACTGATTTAGAACCAGTTAATAAGTAGTTAAAGTAGTTAATAAGTAGTTAAACTTCTATACTATTTTTATAGTAAATACTTATATTAACTAAGTACTTTACAAGTACTTAATCCTGGGAAAAGTAACTTATTATATTATATTCTTGCAGCTTGAGCTGATCTGCTTTGATCTTCCTTAGATATCAGTTATAATAATACTATAGTAGTGGCAAAGGGGGGGAATTAGGTAGTAGTACGTAGGTAAGCTGTAAAGGTCTTGTAAAGTTCACTTAGATTGAAATTTTTAGTGTTGTAGGTGTACTACCTGACCTGACGATCACATGACCAAAACCTGATTATTAAGCGCCTCGAGGGTGGCGCCACCTAGAAGTTGGGTCTAGCTGATCTGTAACCACTCTGCGTACTTCAATTTGATTCCATACCTACCAACCCGCGCCGCCTGCTAGTCTTTCGCTTACAACTCTTACAATCGGACCAAGATCCGATAGGAAGCAGATTTCGAGGTGACTTCATTTCGCTGCAGTGTAGATCGGCTTCTTTACTATATTATTAGGAGTCGACCAGTAATCAGAACTTAATACTTCTATCAATCTATTTGAGTTCATAATTTATTTATTCGGAACACATATATGACGATAACAACTCCAGCTATAAAAAGGTTGGGAGACCAATTTCTCTTGTTGGGGATGATTTCATACAATCGCAGCATACCAGCGGTAGAGAGTAGTCAGTAGATACGAACTATTGTCTTTGTAGTACCATTATTATGTACAGGTTACACGCTGCTAATTGTATCAAAAAAACAATGAACTAGTAGATCCTGTTCATATAATAGATATATTAATATTCAGTCTAACCGCCCCCTACACTAGTTTCGGGGTCGCGTATGGCGCGACCCCGAAACTAGTGTAGGGGGCGGTTAGCGGTCAATCTAGCATCCAAATCTTATAATATATTATCACTCACGTCTAAATCTGGGCTTCACTTGGCCTAGGGTTCGAAGGTTTCTTTTAGGTGAAATTCCTTATTCTTGCATTAAACCCATTAAACGGATGGAATATTAACATAGTAGGTATATGTCAAATAATGTAGAATAATGTAGATGATTCACTGTCCAGAGTTTTGCAAAGCCCCGACGCCTATTAATCAGAGCAACAGATGAATATTATTAAAGTATTTTATACTGCATTTTTGCGGATCTTCCAAAGTGCACCAGTCCTGTAAGACTTCCATTTCTCAAGCACCGCGTTTTTCTCCTCATTTGAGGCTGATCCCAATTCTGTGAATCCCTGGCTGATACGGGACTCGAATATATAGGCCTTCCGATCGGCACCATAGGAGCGTTCAATGCCTCGGTGTATACCTTTTAACGGGAACCCTAGCAGACCCCACAGCCCTAGTGCAAAGTCCGAAAGGTTAGTGAACTTTATGCATAATAAAATGAAAAGCACATACCCGCCTGGGGTTTGAAAAATATGCCTCCCAAACCTTTCCCTAGGCCTTTTGCCATACCACTGATTCTGTTGTCTTTCCATCCTTGCGCAGGGTGAGTTACTATTCCAGTAACGCCATCGTAGAAGCCATTGATGAAAACCTGAGGCATTGAGCACAGTTCTTTGTTTAACATAGGGCTACACTTACTTTCCCAGCCGCATGTAAGCCAGATCTGAATCCAATGATCTCCGGAGTATCTCGCACTGTTCGATCATGGTATAACCGTGGTATGTTGTGGAGACCGTGCGCTAGGAGGTATGTGGTGCCCATAGGGATCTGAATCAACCAGTTAAGGAATCGGCACTGGACATAAAATATATTTACCGCTGTCCGCTGGAGAAATCCTCGTTTATGGGCCTTTGGAATGGTTTTAGCATGCACATGTGTAGTTATATCTGGCGACTCTGCACTCGCTGAAGACACGGCCAGTGTTTGCAAAGCTGCTGTTTGGGCGTTGCAGGAATCCAAGTTAAAATGTGCCGCGACGCGGTCTGATACGGGCTGGGAAAAGATCCGCGTCATGTTGACAGGTAATTCAATGAACCCATTTAGAAAGTTATCTACCGCGCCTCCAAATGTCTCAGCTCCTGGGTGGATATCATACTGTTGTGCGCGGTATCTGGAAGCCATACAATTAGTTTGACGTATACCCTAAATGATCGAGTTCATGTTACTTTCAATTTAATGTGCTTGTGGGTGAGTTCCTTATTTTGGATCAATACAGCAGCTGCAAAAGCACTGATTACGGTTTTCGTCTCTCGAATGCGCCAGACTGCGGGGCGATTCGGGCACAGTGCGCATCGGAGTTGATCAGGTCTGAGCTGTTGATGGAAAGATTCCAGCGCAGCTTGTGCACCATCCTCCGCGTTGATTCTCTGACTGAGACTCTGGGCATGTTCAACGGTGGTAGGTGTTAAACAGAAGGCTATTGCGTTCGCTAGATTGTCGGCCGTCAGTGTCTTGTGCGGGATAGGTTCTGGGCCTGCACCGTTCTTTGCCACAAGAGAGCCCCAGAAAGGCTGATCACCAAAAAAGGGCACGACTAGGGTTGGTCTTCCCAGGGCGAGGCCCGTTGCAGTTGTCCCCGCCCCGCCATGGTGAACCACACAGGAGACGTGCTTGAATAGCCAGTGATGAGGGACGTTGTCAAGAAAGAATACATCGGGCCAATTGATTTGTTCTGCTCCCAGGCCACCCCAGCCTTTGGAAACGAGAGCACGTTGTCCAGTTAGTTTCACTGCGTTTAGAATTGTTTTTGTGAGCGCGTCTGGGTCATCCACAACTATGGAACCAAACCCAATGTAGATCGGTGGATCGCCTACACTAAGAAACTCAACGAGATCTTGTGGAGGTTTATACGTGCCATGTTCGGGAAGGAAGTTGAAACCAGTAATTTCAATGTGCTGCTTCCAGTCGTTGGGCTTGCCAAGTAATGAAGGTGACCTAGTTCCAGCATTAGGCTCTAGATATATATCTTTACAAGATGAGAAAGAGTACCATAGATAAGTGAAAGGAATTTGAAGCCGGTCAATCAAGGTTGACCCATTCAAATCATCCAGTTGGTCCAGCCCCAGCTCAAAACGACGAAAATCATTAATTAAGTCGCCAACCCCTTGCCAGATAAGCATCTCCGTGAGAACGTAGGAAGTGAGGTTTCCGACCGTGCGCTCGGTGCCACGAGATGCAATATTGGCTAGTGGGTGTGGGAACGCTTGCGTGGGCGACCATGGCATCCTGTTCCCATGTCAATACGCAATGGTCATGTAATTTTGGGAATTGGACCCACGTGAACATCATATGTAGCGGGACACCTAATTTCTCTGCACAGTGAATATGAGCAAAACTAGGCGGGTTTGCAATGATAGCATCGGCTACAAAGGGCGACACCGTTATGGGATCATTACTGATTGTACTGATCCCTTCTCCTGCCTCGAAGCATGATCGCCAGCAACCTCCAATAATGGCTCGGAGTTCCTTGCGTCGTCTGGTGACAGAACCGTCAAAGAGGCTCTCTATGTTCGGGATCAAGTAGGGATTTTTGACCATGAACGACATAAGCTCACCGGGATCACCCCCGATATTGAAGAATTCTAAACCATGCTCGTTAACAAAGTCACGGAACATGAGATGTGTTGCCAGCCGGACGCGATGACCATGGGCCTGCAGCGCCTTGCCTAGCACGATGAATGGCTGAACGTCCCCTCGGGAACCTACTACCTGTAGTAAGATGTTCAGCTTTAGAGGAAAATGGATAACTTCTTTGTTTCTCTGAGGAGCGAGAATTGATGGTCTGCGCGTGAGCGCATAGGCCAGCTGGACCACCCGCGGGATGCCCTCATCCAGGTCAATGTCTAAGCGCCCGTCTTTCTCTATACAAAGGTTAGAAGTTATGTATTTTCATGCCGTAGGGCTTTGCAGATATTATACTTGTGATTATAGTCCCATTTCCAAGGCCTGTAGAGCTCGATCTTCGAGCCCTTAGCCAGGCCGGAATTTGCGGACACGGGAAGGTTGCAACGAAATTCGACATTGCCTCGGTCTGATTTGGCATATTTGAAGTTGACTGCCTTCCAATAGACAGCTCGCATCAAGGCAGTTGAAATCACTGATTTACACCGAGTAAGAGTGGCGAGCTTTGCGGATTCCAGTAGCCAGTTCGTGTATGCCCTCGACTGCTGTTATGTCAGATGATGCAAAGATGATAAGCAAGACGGGCAGACCAAATGCTAACACTAACCAGCGCAGTTCATGGAAGGTAATTATATAAACCACATGATCCCGTGCAAATGTTAAACTTTTTTTCTGAACTTGGCCTATCGAGAGACAGCGCAGAACTATCCCGCCCCAACGGAGTCATCCATGGCATCGAGTTGCGATTCTGGAGGAGGGTTTGCAGGACACAAATGATGGTCCGTGACATCATAGGTGGTTCTTGGCGCCCATTCTCTGGCCTCAAATTGCAACAGATAACTGAGGCCCCGTGAATATGTAGGGTTTTTCTTTTTTTCACTTTTTATAGTGTAGTGGACATTGACTGTATTCAGTACGTTATCAAAGAACTTCCTGCTTTAGCGTGTAAGAAACTACTATCTTTTTAGTACAGAATGTCGGGATTTCGGAGCTGAATCCGGGGCCGGGCTCCGATAATCCGCACACGCGGAGACATGGACAAGAACTACAATCGAAGAACAAGTGCTAAGAATGTGACATATTAATGAAATTTTCCGTAATGCTGGCGAAAAGACAAAACGAGCGCTGGAACCCGAGCTCTCGGGATCATGTGTCCGTTGGGGGCCGAGTCTGTAGAAAGACTCCGCCACGCTGCCTTATCTGAATCTATCAACTGATAACTAAGCGCGCTTATCGGCACCTAGATCCCTCCACCGCTTCTGGATGCCGAGGGTGTTTACATCAGGTGAACCAGAAGTATTTGGTCATTTATGCGCAGCAATGATTGCTAAAGAATACTCACACTTGCTTAACTCTTGCGTTCAAACAAAAATAGTCTCGTCCTTTGACAACCTACGTTGCAATCCACCATGTCCTCCTCAATGGTGCCCACCGTTGTGGATGTACTCGTCGTCGGTGCTGGATTGAGCGGGCTCCGGGCAGCTCTGACTGTCCAGGCAGCTGGATTGTCCTGTGCAGCCATCGAAGCAACTGATCGTGTAGAAGGAAAGACACTCACTGTATCATCTAAACTAAGTGACCCAGGGGTCAATGACGTTGGCGCCGCCTGGATCAATGACACCTCCCAAAGTGAGATGTACAAACTCCTCCGACGATACGGCCTCCAAGGAGAATTCCAGATTGTTAAAGGACAAGATATCTACCTGCATCCAGATGGAGCTATGATGTCTCCCCATGGGGAACTGCTGGTAAGGCCGTAGCCTTCTCCGCTATATACTCATCCAAGACCGCTGATCATGAGCCGGACAATAACAGGTCTCCCGGAACGACAAGGCAGTATTGTCTGAGGCCTTCATAAGTATTCGGCGGCTCATTTTAAATACCAACTTAAAAGATCCAGTCTCGAGCCTCGGTGGAAAGGAGCTGGACCAACTGACATTGCAAGACTACTGTATTCGGACGTTTCAATCCGAGTTTATTACTGAGGTCTTCAACACAATTAGCCAGTCTCTGTTAGGTCTTGACAGTGATGAGATTAGTATGTTGAGCTTTGTTCACTATTGCAAATCGGGTACCGGAATCGATGCTTTGATCTCGGATGGCAAGGATGAAGCTCAATATCTCAGACTCAGACAGGGTAAGAGCATCAGTATTGTGTGGATCCGGCTTATAAGTGATGCTTTGAGACAGGTGCTCAGTCATTTTCCACGAATATGGCGAAGGAGCTGAGTCCAGATTAGCTCTACCTTTCCACTCCAGTCACTGAAATTAAGCAGTCTCCGACCAGTGGCCTATACACAGTGGTATCCAAAAGGGGCAGGCTTTTTAGTGGAAAAAAGGTCATTCTCACTAATGCCTCACCGCTGTACCCAACAATTCGCTTTGACCCTCCGCTCCCTGAGTCGAAGCAACGTCTTGCTAAAAAGAATATGCTTGGTTACTATAGCAAGATCATCTTTATTTTGATACGCCGTGGTGGCGGGCATCAGGTTTCTCAGGAACAATCCAAGCCCGTGATGGCCCAATCCTATTCTGTGTGCACACCAGTATTACTGATGATGCTCAGTGGTCGATCAGCTGCTTTATGGTTGGTCAGCGCGGGCGCAAATGGTCTCAGTTATCAGAGACAGATAGACGTCGCTCCGCTTGGGAGCAACTCTGTACCGCATTTCGGAGTGCCAAGGCCCTGTCAGGCAAGGACTTCCCCACTCCGGAGCCGATTAATGTTGTTGAGTATTAGTGGCCTAAGCAAGATTACTTCCACGGTGGTCCTTGCCCTGTGGCTCCACCAGGCCTTCTGTCTTCGATTGACGGCTCTGCCTCCCGGACACCATTCGGAAGCGTGCATTTTGTGGACACGGAAACTGCATTGGAATGGAAGGGATACATGGAAAGGGCAGTTCGTTCCGGTGATAGGGGCGCTAGTGAGGTTATCACGGCGCTTCAGTGGGAGTCCAAGTTCTGATTTTAGTATGAAGGTGGTAAACAGGGTTAGGATGTGAAATTCAACCTTACGACCAGCGTATGGAATCTGTTCGTGTTGATCTCCGTACCTTCATTATGTCCACAGTAGTTATATTGTGCATTTAAGTCAATGAATCGTCCGCGTTTGTCTGATAATGCTACTTCCGATTACTTAGTGTGCTGTGATGCATAAATCTTCGTGGATGTAGGCAAATACAGGTCTGTGGCCGGTTCGCTTGAAGGGGATCTTGTGGCTAATTGGCAAGTTAAGCTAATGTTGTGGACCTCATATGATGAATAGATTTTAAGAGTTGTATATAGTGTACATAGTATCAGACCTATTTTAAGTTGTGTAGTAATACCAGTGTCCTAGTTGTACATGTTGAGCTTCTCGAAAGAGTGCCGCTCCGGAAGGAAAACAGGATGAAGGATGCTGAGAAGAACACGGGTATTTCTTTCGGCGTAGGAACAGTGGTGTATTGAGTTCATGTTCCTGGGGTGGATCCGTCCAACCTATGCATTGCTCCGTCCACACTTTTTTGCTTGACTCGTCAAAGCTTCCATAGTTTCAACAATGGGCGTTAAATCCCTCCCAGCCTGTTTCAATGCGATTGCGAATACATTTCGAATCTTTTCAAGTAGAGCAAAATCCATGCATCTTAGGTCGGCATCACATACCTTGTGTAGGTTTTCGTAAAGTGTGAGGATAGCAATGAAGGGCCGAAGAATGAAAATCCGCCTGGTGATGGGACTCGACGGTATCGGCATGACCATAGCCAGCATTACCTCAACAGCGCGTCGTGCCGCCCATACTGCTCGTTTCCAGTGATGGCAGGACGGCGTTGGAGAGAAACATGGCAGTCGGCTGTTCATGAGGATTATCGTATTGTATCCTGAAAGGATAGCCTCCGCCAAGAATACTTTCTCAAGAGGCGTCACCCCACAGCCTAGCCAGTCTTCCTGAGGACCGAGAACATGAGTAAGTATCCGCACGGAGTGAACGCCAAGTGGGGTGAGAGGTGACAGACAAGATGCCACTCCTTCAGACTAGACTCGATCTCATTGCACCTTAACTCAGTAAAACTCAATAGATCATAGAAAGGATCTGATTTAGACGCATCAAGGGCGTTTAAGTATTCTAACCCAATGAAGGTAAAACGGGCATTGGCAATAAACGAGGCTTTGCTGACGGAAGGGTGGCTGTCCTCATCAATTTCCGGCTTGGAGTTCAGCCATGGCATATTAACAATCCAATCTTCCGCTGACACAGCTGAAGACATTCCATGGAATAGGCGGAAGTTTATGTCTGCCTGGATCAATTGCCAGAAGCCTTGTCGTTTACGCTCGAGGCTTGCATAGTCCCGAATGTGATCAGTGGTATATTTGTCGAGGATATGCAGGCGAAGAAGCTGCGCTAATTGACATGCCTTTCGGTGAAGTAGCCAGCTCAGCTCAAAATCCTGGTTCTCCATTGCTGCCAGAGACTACGAGACGCAATTAGCTATTTGGATTCTGCAGGGGTGGTTTCAGGGAGCTGCATATCGATCATACCATTCCTAAGGCTCCGACAAAGTATGCTGTAGTAGCAGTAGCTTCTTGGTGCCATTCAGGGAGTATTTTGAGGCACTTTAGGTATAGGCGTGAGGCAAGGTCACTATCCTCGACTACCTCGCCGCCCTCCAACAAACAACCTTGATACAAGAGAAGAAAGTAGACAAGTAGAATTGATTTGTCGGTATGCACGCTTGGCTTGCGCGTCATGTATGGTAGTTTCTTCATCAGATCAGCATCTATGAGGCTGACAAACAGTTCGTCCCCAAGCTGCTGCAAGCAATCTTTATATTGTCAGGCCTTAACCCAAAAAGATCATATAAGGCTCCTTACTCTCTACCATGGCCTTCGCTCGCACCGGAGCTATAGGTACAAAATCATCCAGGTTGGCCATTGGTAAGCACTCTAACCGAAGCGTCCCAGACCTACGGATAGCATTTGTCAGTTGACTTAGTATTTCGTTTTCAGGCCAGTCGCTAATTATTGTGTTGGGTTGTACTCCTTTCACAACATTGATCAAGACAGGTACCTCATCTCGGTTTCCCAAAGAGACCCCATTTCGCGGCAATCTGTGGCTAGGAGAAGCTAACGTAGGACGTGCGGGCCTATTCACAATGCTGTTGATCTGGTCCTCAAGATACTGTATGCGGGCCGAGAGGGCGTCTGAACAGTCAGTCAGGCTAGAAAACAATAGATTAGTATAAGATGAACACCCAAGCATGACGAAGTATCACACTTGCTTGTTCGGATCAAGGCCAAGGGCAGCAGCCTTCGCGACTCGCGGACGACGCTTATTGTACTCGCAGCGTATCCCTGCAGCACGACACCGGTCACACCCGCGTTCCTCTTTGCTGCACCGAACCTGTCGTATATATTAGAACAAAGAAGGGTGACCAAGGTTTAATGAATGGTAGCTTGACCTTCCTAGACTGACATCTGACACACTAAAGTCTCCTTAGCTGTTCGTACGCCCGACTCCCAGTAAAATAGTGGACTTACCGCTAAAGGGTTGAGCTTTAGGGCATACATTTGCGTATAGATACACTCGACCAGTGCTTGTCCACGGGGATGGGAAATGGATCGCCTCCAATATATAAAGCCGACCTGGATCGCCACTAGACCCTGTCATGATATCATGCTGGTGCCCGATTGGTTTCACTTCCGCCTTTGGGGTCGCCAAGCCCCAAACCTTCGGGGGCCGCGGTATCCGTGGCCCCTTTTTGAGGGCTGAGAGATCCTTTGAAGAGATTCTGTTGGAGAAAAGTGGCGGCGTCTGTAGCTTTTGTGCAGGGACCAATACTGGAAATTATATTACACGCAGGACCCATGGTCGGCTGCTGTCCATTGTGCGTACTTGCCAGGGCCTAGTTCAACCCTGTCTGAGTCACCAAGGCTGCTTTATCCACTGTTACAAAGAGATTTCTCACGGTCTGTATGATAACTTTCTTCCTTCTCCTTGTTCGATGTTTTAATGGATTGCCATTTAAGATATAATTTGTGCATTTAAGGTGCACAGGATCATCACAGTACTGTTACCATCAAGCGAACTTGATAAAGAGGCATGTCAAAAAGGGACCCTAGAAACAACTAGCCTATTACATTTAAACAGATCCGGCCTTTTTAGTAGCCCTTAAAATTGCTGGTCCTTCCCTTTGTGCTACGGTTTCCTATGAACAGGTCCTTCCTGGTCTGTAATTTTACTTTGTGTCATCCTCGGGCCCCAATACCATCAGGCAAATACACCGTCTTCACGAAAAGATATCAGCGTAGTAGCGGTCCCCTTTCAAATCTTGCACCCACTTCAAGGCCGTCTCCTCATCCTCTCCCATAGAGTCCGCTCGGATTTTCCCCATGGTCTTCTCAATAGCTGCACCAACCTGACCCGAGCCACAAATATAGATCTTGGCGCCCCTATCGAATAGCGCGCCCGTCTCCTTCCGGTCCATCCAGATACGATCCTGAACATGCTTACAATTTTTAGACGCCTCCGGTTGCTGTGAATAGGTTCGTCGAACGTCCACAACACCTTGTGTTTGCCACGCGTCAAATTCCTCCCGATACAGGTCGTCCTGGCCGGGTTGCCTACAACCATAGAAGAGGAGCGAGGGCCCAACCGCTGTACCGCCCGCCTTTTTGAGCGCGCGTTCCGCAACAAAAGCACGGAAGGGCGCTAGCCCAGTGCCAGAACATGCCATAATAACAGGTGTCTTGGGGTCAGCGGGAAGGTGGAACCCAGCACGGCTGGGCCGCATGCTGATTTGGAGATGATCGCCCACATTAAGACGTTCCATGTAGTTACTGGCCACGCCGAGAAATCGATGGCCCTGCCGGCTACCTTTCGATGGCGCGTCGATAACGCTATAGGTCAGGCTGCACTCATACTCTCGGTCTAGCGGGGTTGAAGAAATGCTATACTGTCGCATCCGCATCGGCGGCACAGAGGCTAGATACTGCCCGAGAGTAAACATTGCGCTGGGGTAATCCTCCAGTAGATCCAGGAGCGTGACGTTGGATCCCTGAAAGTCTTCCCCTCCGATGCGCTCCTCCAGCTCCCGTGCTAGCCCCTCATCCGAGATTGACTTAGCGAGAGCCGTTGCCGCGCGGCCAGTCACAGGTTGGCCAAGCTCTAGCATCCCCGAGAGCACGTCGTTTACACTGAGAGCCACACCAGTGGGCAGAGACGTGGGTGTGGACGGGTTAATGGTTATGGTGGCGTCCCATGGTAACCGGAAGCGTTTCATAACACGGCGGACTGTTTCTGGTGGGTTGAGCGGCAGCACGGCCAGATAGTCGCCGGCACGGTATGTAACTCCAGTTGGCAGGCGAATTCCGATGTGCCGTTTTCTAGGTGCTCCGGGTTTCGTCAAGAGACGAACTTCACTGACCTCGGCATCCTGCACGTCCTGCCGAAGCAGTGACGACCGGGCTTGAGTATCCACTTGGATCTTCAATCCTCTTTGGCTGAAGTCGTCGCTATCATCTCTCTGACCGGTTAGCTTATGCGCTGATGGCCAAAAGCTCTTGTCCTGCCATCGGTCGAATGCGTCGAAAATATTTCCCTGCGTGACGTCGACAGCCACTCTCTTTGTAACCTGCTCTGCTCCAGCCTTCGATAGTATGTCATCAATTAATGTGGGAATTCTTTGATAAGTTGAACGCCATTCCTCTAAAAAAAATGTCAGGATATAGAATAGTTAGGGCAGGATGTCTTCACTTACTGTTCCCAACGCCGAATACGCAGTATCGTACGTCCTTGAATGTCGATGAATCACAAGACTTAAGCCATTCAGTAAAGTGCGCGGCGTTATCTGGGGATTGCCCTTCGTATGTCGCTGTGATAATAACGACCAGATCCTTCTTCGGGAGAGCCTCAGTCGCGCTATCCAAGCTTTTGACCGTGGCGGAAAAACTGTGTTCTAGAGCCGAGGAAGCCAGCTCTTGGGCCAGCGCTTCACAGGTTCCTGTATTTGACCCATACAGAATGAGAAGCGGTGTGGTGTCGCCTGAAGCGGGTGCTGGAGGTTCCTCCGTCTTACGTGGGGCTTCCGATAATGGAGACGAAATCCCCATCCCGGATTGTTCAAAGACGTCAGGATCCCTGACTCGGGCCCTCATATAAAAATCCTTTGGCTTAATCGTAAGGGTGGTTTTAATCTGTAATTGATAAGAAGGGTTGTCTTTAGTAAAATGGAACGCCCGGAGCAGCGATGCGACTGTAAGCAAGGCCTCCTGCCAAGCGAAAGGGCGACCGATGCACGCACGCATTCCGTTACCAAATGGCTATCCCTGGTAAGCCAAAATTTATCTCATTAAGCAGAGGTTAGTGGGGCTGTGCCCTTACCTTCCAGCAATTAGGAGGAAGCTCCCTGAACGCCTCATCCAGCATCCGGGATGGCTTAAACTCTTCCGCGTCTGGCCCGTAGACTTCTGGGTCACGGTGAAGTAGCCCAAGCAGCACATCTACACATTCCTTGTCTTTGACAACGTATCTTTCGTCAAGGACCTGATCGCCTTTTGCTCGAACAGTGAACGCTGGTGCCGTCGGATGGAGGCGAAGCGTCTCACGCAAGCAGGCCTCCAGATATGGAAGCTTTGACATATGATCGATTGTTATAGTCTGTTTTCCAATTACTCTATCGACTTCCTCTTGCGCCTTTCGATAAGCCTCGGGGTTTTCGAGGAGTTCGTAAAACAAGAAAGACAGCATCCCAGACGTGGTCTCATGCCCTGCACAATGATAAGTATATTTATTGAAGAAAACTGGGGAATGGAGGATAAAGGGATATTTAGGACAAGTAGCATACCAGCAATCAGGAAAGTGATCATATTCCGAATTATTGTATCATCACTCAATTGCTCCCCAGTCTTCTTATCCTTGTTGAAGATTAAAGCGTTAAGCAGATCCTTCTTTTCCACTGGAGCCCGTTTTCGTGACTCCAACAGCTCCCTAGAGATAGACACCAGCGTTTTTATGTCAGTACGATACTGTTTCTGTTGCTCCCGGAAGAGGCAGTCAGTGAATCGTGGGCGTAGAGACCGGGCCCACGATTCTGTTAGCAAGCCATTCATTGCTTCGACGAATGGATGCTGTTTCTCGTGATAAAATGAGTTAAATCGATCCCCCATCGCACATCTACCGCATAAATATACTAATTAGTCACAACAGGTACCCTACTATCACATAGGAGCAAAACACGCACAGAGCAATTGAGTCCAATGTTAACCTCGTGAAGTCGTCTGCAACATCGATCGCCGTGTTAGGGCCAAATCGTACCCATTTGAGTACCATTTGAGTGACAATATCTTGCATCTCTATTAACCGCATAAAGTTAATCACTATATGTTGAAGCGGCCAATATACTGCGACTTATGCTTACCTGGAAACATTGCTCGTATGGAGAGCGGACCAAAAGCTGGCATCAAAGTGCGGTGTGCGATTTCCCAGTTGTGTTCCCCGGGGTAGGCTGTAAACAGACCATCTTTGGTCGCATTGCGGATTTCATCAAGTGGTCCAATCACTGCCTTTTGGAACTTCGTCTCGTCGAAAAGGTCGCGTGCAAGTGCATAGTTTGCTACAAATATTGCGTCCTTGGGGAGGCGGAGCTTAAAAATCGGCCCATAGGTGCTTGCAATACGCCCAAAACTCTCGAAAGGGTGCTCCATGTCTATATCCATGATATTACCAATAATTGGGTAACCATCTGGGCCAGGAATTGGTTCAGCCATGGCCAGAGATATTTCCAATGTGCAGTTAAATAAAAGTAGACGCGTGAGGCTTCTGGTTAATGTGTAAATTTTTGCATAGCTAGGTTGGGACCGAGGGTTTCTGTTACATTTATATGCTGCATGTGGCTGAGAAATTTGGGCCTATATTCCTGTGTATCCCGTATCAATGACGAATAACAAAATGTTACAAGAAGGTTTAAACGAATTACAAAGGGCATACACATCTAAGTTTGTGACGCACCGATCGGGACCGAAAGGCTATGCATGACCCACTCCCCCTCTCGGACCACACCACTAGCGCACCGAGGCATCCTCAATCCTTCCTATCTGTTGCTCTACTTAGTGGAGCCAAACCTAAGTTACAGCTTTGAGATCAGAACCCACCAAGAACCACGGGACCGGCAAATGGTACAGTACCAAACGCAAGTCATAAGGCCCAAGATCATATTTATATTCGTCATTTATGACGAAGGTAGGAATCAATTGTTTGGCTGAATTTAATATGAAGCCTCCAGTATCGAATACAAATCGAGAGGCGCGGGAGAGAGGTTATTGTCAGGGCCTAGGCCGAATCCTGCCTGAGGCACCAAGTCTACTTTATTCACGGTTGATCCAATCTTACAACACAGAATCCCACAGTTCCTGTATGACAGAATTCTTTCTCCCTTCCTTTTCTACGTTTGATGTTTCGTTAGACCGCCACGCTAGATAAATGATTTGTTTTCCAATGTGTATAGGATCATCACAGTTATAGTCTGGAAGAGCTCGCGGTTTAATCGGATACTGCATAAGGCCGTAATTATTTAGGTTGTCGAAGGTATAGGGTGAGGATTTATCGTATGCGAGCCCTTGGCTTTCAATTATTCAACCGCATAAAATTGCTATTAATTAGTCCAAATACTGATAAACATCAATGATGTAGCAAAGGCACTGTATCTCTCTAATTTTATCACGTTCGGATACGGTTTGATTGAAGTTGACTACGCATGAATGGAATTACAGTCTTTTAAGCTATATTCAAGTGTAGGGCAAAGGCAACCTAGCTTCCGCTACCTGCACTTTCGTCTCCACGTTGAAATGCCAATGAAACACCTACGCACGTTCTCATCTCGCGTCTAGGTGATGACGCTAGGGGGCTGGAGGCAAGACACAGATGGACATATATCATGTCAGATACTTAAATTCCCGCAGCGGGTCCTGTATCCGTTCATGGCGTTGCACCGAAACTCAAAAGTAGGTTCCGGAGAGCCGTAAACATGGCCAACTCATGCCGTTTCATTCCGCTTCCTGCCATTGAATAGTTGTCTTTCGGTGCTCGGGGCTTGGCGCTCGGACAATGGATAATGCGCTACTCCGCCCGGCTGGATACGTCATATGTGTTGGTACACCCAGGCTGGCCACTTCCATCTAGCCCAAGCCAATATCCTTGCCTAATGTACAAACGTAATGCCTCAGGAACCTCACTAGCTTTGACCGGTAGGCGTTGCGAGATTCCCGATGCTAGGCATTTTCAGAGCTCCGGCCTAGGCACCATGATTATAAAATCCTAGATATAAGCTGCTGGAGCCTGGAATTTTCAGCGTGCTGGCCTAGATGCCAAGAATTTTTAAAACCTAGATAGAGCTCGGCTAACCCCTTGATCCTCATCCTGATAATTGTCGTTAGCATACTGCTACTTAACTTAAATTACTAATGGCCAATTGGTAGCTAGACTTGTTGCAGCCCCCATCAGCATCTCAGCTAAGCTATAGAAGCGGGTAGTATACGCGCCCTTCCACGTGCCTCCTGACACGAGTAGTCCCTTTTATTAAAATTTAAATTTGGGCAGTGCAGCTCGATAAGGCGACGCACATGTGAAAAGCAAGCAGTTGATACTAGATCATGATTATACCTACTCTGTTCGAGTTAGGCTTAGTCCAACTAACCTTAAACCAATGCTTAGCTACGTTAAAGAATGATATAGTCCAGTTCATATGGTGCCGCTGACACTGCGAACTCACTCCGTCACAAGAGACTCAGAGCACCTGATTAATTGACCTGCGAGAATATTGGAATAGTGGCTATTAGTGGCGTTCCGACCACCACCGCCTTATCGTCGGTGGTGGTCGTCAGCGGAACGCAATTTTCAACGCAAAGCAAAAAAATGAAGCAATTCGTATTATCACCACTAAACGCCTGCAGCATCGATAAAATAAAGCTGATCAGCCGATTTCTCTGCCATTTCTGCGTTTGGAGCTGTAGAATTATTTTCTGTATAGGGCCTTCGTTGGAAGTGGCCGTAGGCCTCTTTATATGCCTTATCCGCTGCCTTTTTCTTATTTAACACTTCTTTGGCCCTTCTATCAGCGATAGAGCGATTTGCATCCCGTACAGTTAGTATACCGCTATATCCGAGGCGTTAAACCTCTCACTTAGTGATATGGCGCCGGCTTCGTGCCTGAACGGCTTCAATTCGCTGCAGAGTTGGATTCATAATCGCGAGCTGTTCGGGCTGAACTTTTTGTTGATAAAATAAGCGATCCAGGCAGCGCTCGAGATGTGGAGAGATATCTATAATACTATCCAGAAGCTTAAATAGCTTCTTCTGATTTCTTTCAACTTGCTGAGCGCTTTTTGGAGGCGTATTTTCAACGCTTGAAGGGAGAGGAATCGGAGGAGGTGTAGTCTCTCTATATATACGGATATCAGGACCAGAGATCTCTATCACTGGTGGTAGAGTATTTTGAATAGCTTCAATAATTGAAGAGCCATTGGGAGGGAAGATACCGCGTTCTTTGAAGGAGTTATGGATAAGGCGTGGTGTGAAGGTCTTCTCATGTACAGCCATAATATCGTGTAGAAAATTTGCTTTATGTCCCGGGACCCCGGTCCACTGCGTGATGAGGTTATTCGCACTACAAAAATGCGTTTTATATGTGAGAAATGACTTTCTATCGAGTGGTTGGCAAATATAAGTTGTATGAGACCTAAAGCAAAAGGGGAGGATCTTGTCGGTCTTATAAAGTTAAAGAAATTCAACTGTTTTGAGATATATAACCGTCAAAAGATAAGCACGCGTTTTTCTTTTTTTTTTGTACGATTCTTAGTCTCCTCGTGAAATTGTTGAAGCCATTGAACGGTGAGAATATCATTTATATAGCCTTTTTCTGATACAGCTGTATAAAAGTCCGGTAGCTCTTCATTATACCATGATTCCATGAACTTCTTGCCTTTAAAGATAAAAAGCAGCTTCATGATCCAGCTGTCTGCGGCTACACATTCAAGTGCGGTGATATTTTCTGAGTGTTCTGATACAGCAAGATCAGGGACTCTTTCTTTCGTACTGGGCACTTTTTGGTTCTTTCCACTGCCTGGTTAGAAGCCGCATTTGCCAAAGTTATACACAAGACGAGCGGGGACCGCTTTAAGCAAGTTTATGAGCCGATTATACCAGAGTTGAAGCTGTCTGATATTCTCTGTATCTAAACGCCTTTTCTCCTTCATCTTTTAAATCACAGAGTCCAATTTAAGCCCAGGAGGAGGTTGTTTAGCAACATGATAAGCCCATGATCTGCTGACGCGCTTCTCGGGATCAACACGCTGTACAGTAAGGTTCCCCCATTTTTCAAGCATTGTGATTGTGACGGGAAGATATACATTACGCATACAGGTAACCCAGTGTATTAAGGCCTTCTCCTGATACTGATTTAGTACTTTATTTACAGGGACTTGAGCCGTACGAGTGTTTCTTTTCCTGCGAAGGCGGCCGTACAGTGTACCGTGCAGGACACCTAATTGCCGCGCGATTTCTGCGATATTCGATTTTTTATTTATTTACTTTTTTTTTTTTGATGAGCGGCTTCAGCGGCCTCATTTACACGCTTATCTAGATTTTTAAGCGTTTTAGGCATTTTAGGTGGTTCGTAGAGCCTCAAAAAGGTTCCTAATCGATTGTTTTGCTTTGCGTTGAAAATTGAGTTCCGCTGACGACCACCACTAATAGGTTTAGAACTGGCACAGAGCATTCGGTAGGAGTAGCCCTAGAGATATTGACGGTTGGATCGGACAGCCATGCCTCTTTCAATCGTGACTAAGTCCAGAAGCGGAACTGGTGGTGGATAATTGGCTGTGCAAATTCTTTCGATGCGACCTTGAAACATCGGTCTGATCAGGTCGGTCCGACGGGATTGTATCGTTATTCGGAGTTTCGTATATCGTTTAGTTGCGTGCGTGGGTCACGCTGTTTCGGATGTCAAGCCCTGGCGGACTCCGAAACACCGAACCTCGGCCAGAGGCCGCGCCAAGGGAGAGAAAATAGGAATTCCAAGGCCGAAAGAGTCTTAACCAAATATTCTAATGATTACAGTAGGGACGGGGTGATGCACGAGAGGATGATGTTTCTAGAAGCACGGCAGACCGAGAGCATAGAGGAGGTATAAGAACCTCCCTGGACCAGCTGGAATGGCCTGAGTTCTCATATTCCCTGGCCAGTGGGATTATTGCATAACCTACATGATGATTCCACTTCAGGCTCTAAGTTCACGACCGGAGACAGCTGATCAGGGACAGAGTATCCCATCAACGCCAAGGACAGCTCATCCGACTGACGACGACCATTTAAGCGAAACAACCAATGCCTACGAACAGGGTATCGACGAAGAAGTTCGCACGCTGGCACGGAAACTGACGAAACTCTCCGTAAACTCCGATGGTCAACATCCATTCACATCGGGGCAGGGAGGCAAATTGGACCCTCGTAGTGAGGACTTTGACTACAGAGCATGGGCCAAAGCCTACTACAACACATTAAAGAGCCCCGACCATGGCTCTCCACCGAGGACTGCCGGACTGGCATTTGAAAATGTTTGGGTGTATGGATCCGGTGCTGACATCGAATATCAGAAAACGGTAGGTAATATCTTTCTTGACGCTGTTTCCCTGGTCAGAGACCTATTTGGCTCTCCTCGACAATCGAAAGTCAACATCCTCCATGGCTTGGAGGGTGTCCTGCACAGCGGCGAAATGTTGATGGTTCTGGGCCCTCCTGGGTCAGGCTGCTCGACATTCCTCCGGGCGATTTCCGGCGAGACGCACGGATTCCACCTGAATAAGGACTCGTACCTCAATTATGAAGGGGTCCGGCCCCAAGAATTACATAGTCACTGTCGCGGAGAGGCAATTTACGCGGCAGAAGTTGATACACATATTGCGACACTGCCAGTGGGAGATACCTTGTACTTTGCAGCGAGGATGAGGGCACCGAATAATCTGCCACAGGGCCTCACCCACCACCAGTATGCCTTACAGCTCCGTGACGTTGTCATGGCTGTGTTTGGGCTCTCTCATACAATCGATACACGGGTTGGTAACGATTATATTCGCGGTGTCAGCGGTGGAGAGAGGAAGAGAGTGACTATTGCAGAGGCAACCCTGAGCGGCGCTCCTCTCCAATGCTGGGATAACAGTACAAGGGGGCTTGATAGCGCCAACTCTATCAAGTTCTGTCAGACACTGAGGATGCAAAGCGATATCATGAAAGCCACCTCACTTGTTGCTATATACCAAGCCCCGCAAGATGCGTACGACGTAAGTGATCCCATTCCATAGGAACAGCACACTGCACGAGCCAGACAAAGGAAGAGTCTCCAAGCTAATCGATTTCGGAAAAGCTCTTTGATAAGGTCACCGTCCTCTACGAAGGCCGCCAGATCTATTATGGCCGGACAGAAGATGCAAAAGTGTACTTCGAAGAACTAGGGTTTTCCTGTCCTGAGCGACAAACAACTCCCGATTTTCTTACGTCCATGACGAGCTCCAGTGAGCGCATACCAAAGCCTGGATATGAACTTAAAGTTCCTCGATCGCCTGATGAATTTGCCGAGGCATGGAGGAACAGCTATCAGCGGCAGGCGCTTTTAAACGAGATTGAACAATATAAAGCGTCCTACCACTTTGATGGGGTCCACAAGCAGAGATTTCTAGACTCCCGAAAGGCGGACCAGTCGCCAAGCCAACGTACCCAATCACCTTTTACCTTGTCATTCTTTGGGCAAGTTAAGCTTTGTCTTTGGCGAGCGGTCCGCCAGTTTCGGAACGACCCCAGTGTCATGATCAGCTCCTTTTTAATGTACTTTTTCGAGGCCCTGATCATCGGAAGTGTCTTCTACAATATGCAGAAAGATACAGAAAGCTTCTTTAAACGCGGTGTGTTGCTGTTCTACGTCATTCTGCTGAATGCATTTTCCTGCATGCTGGAAATTCTCGGTGTCTACGCTACTCGGAAAGTCGTTGAGAAGCATTCCCGCTACGCACTGTATCACCCTAGTGCAGATGCGGTAGCAGCCGTAATCGCCAACCTACCATATAAAGTTTTAAATTGCCTGTTTATGAACACCACCATATATCTGATGAGCAACCTACGCCGAGAAGCTGGTTCATTTTTCTTCTTTCTCTTGTTCACTTTCGTTATAAACTTCGCGATGTCAATGTTTTTTCGTCTGGCCGGCTCGTTGACTAAAAGCATTGAACAGGCCCTTGCACCAGCAGCGATTCTTATGCTTGCTGTTGTAACTTATACTGGTTTTGCAATACCCAAACGGTACATGCTTGGATGGATTAGCTGGGTCCGTCATATAAACCCTATTGCATATGGGTTTGAAAGTATTATGCTGAATGAGTTTCACGGTCGTGAATATTCATGCTCGCAATTTGTTCCCTCGGGTCCTGGATATGACAATACCGCGCCTGATCAGCAGGCATGTGTAGCAAAAGGTGCTACTCTAGGATCTAGGATAGTTTCTGGGACAGCGTTCCTTATGGATTCCTATGATTACCGGAACGGACACAAATGGCGGAACCTGGGGATAATTATTGCCATTACTATTGGGCTTATGCTTGGATATTTGGCCGCTATCGAATACATCTCTTCCGAAAGATCAAAGGGTGAGGTCCTCGTTTTCCGCAGAGCTAACAGACGCCAACGTTTCCCCAAGAAACGCAATCATGACCCGGAGAACTTAAATGATACAACACCCGCGATGAACAGGCAGGAACAATCAAATACCGAGGCAGGACAACAGGTGGAGAACCACAGCAATGTTTTCCATTGGCAAGATGTATGCTACGATATCAAAATCAGGGGAGAGCCTAGACGGATTTTAGATCACGTTAGTGGCTGGGTCAAGCCTGGGACACTCACTGCACTTATGGTAAGCGGCTCTGTCTAGACTATCTACACTAGTCTGACATAAATAGGGTGTATCCGGTGCAGGTAAGACCACCCTCCTGGATGTTCTTGCGAGCAGAGTCTCTATGGGCATCGTAACCGGAGACATGTTGGTCAATGGCACTCTGCGTGATGACTCTTTCCAGAGAAAAACTGGTTATGTTCAACAACAGGACCTGCACCTCGCAACCTCTACTGTCCGTGAGGCACTGAGCCTCAGCGCTCTTCTTAGGCAGCCACGGCATATTCCGAGGCAAGAAAAGCTTGACTACGTGAATACTGTGATCGATTTACTTGACATGCATACATATGCTGATGCAGTGGTTGGTGTTCCTGGTGAGGGATTGAATGTAGAGCAACGCAAAAGACTCACAATCGGTGTTGAACTGGCTGCAAGACCTCAACTTCTCCTTTTCCTCGACGAACCTACTTCTGGCCTGGATAGTCAGACATCATGGTCTATCAGCTCTTTGATGAAGAAGCTTACAGACAATGGGCAGGCCATTCTTTGTACTATTCACCAACCCTCTGCTATGTTGTTTCAGCGTTTTGACCGTTTGCTTCTACTCGCAAAAGGGGGAAAGACAGTCTATTTTGGTGAGATTGGTGACGGCGCACAAACCCTGCTGAATTACTTTATGCGCAATGGTGCAGCACCATGTCCTGCAGGGGCAAATCCCGCTGAATATATGTTAAATGTTATTACTGGGTTATATAACTCTGGATCTAACTTGAACTGGCCGGAAATTTGGAATAACAGTCCCGAGCGGAAGGCTATACAGGATCATCTTCAAGAGCTGAAGCAAGGCAGATCAGTGTCCAGTGCAACACTCAATGACTTGACAAGTAGTGGTGAATTTGCCGCACCTTTTATGGAGCAACTCTGGCAAGTCACGAAGCGCGTGTTCCAGCAGTACTGGCGAGACCCCGGGTATATCTACGCAAAAGCTGTGCTAACGGTTGGAGTGGTATGCCTTTTTTCCAGTAGCAAAGCACTAATTTTTACTCTACTAATTGTTCCATTTAGGCAATGTTCGTCGGGTTTTCCTTCTTTAAAGCCGAATCTACACAGCAAGGCCTACAGAACCAGATGTTCGGTGTCTTCATCTTCCTAGCAGTCGCTTTGCAGATGATCACACAAATTATTCCTGTATTTGTTATGCAGCGCACACTGTACGAAGCGCGTGAACGACCTTCTAAAACATACAGCTGGAAGGCATTCATGGTGGCAAATATATTTGTTGAGCTTGCTTGGAATTCAGTAAGTTGCCAATCCCACATGGTACAGCTTAATTCACTTCTGACAAACAAACTTCTTCATTCAGATAATGGGTATATTCTGCTTCTTGTGCTGGTACTATCCCATTGGCCTCTGGCGCAACGCAGAGCCAACAGACCAGGTTCACTCTCGTGGAACCTTAGCATACTTGTTTATCTGGGTATGCATGCTGTGGTCTAGCAGCCTCGCCCATTTGCTTATCGCAGGGCTAGAGACGGCAGATGCAGCTTCTGGCCTTGCGACAATAATATTCGAGCTCCTCCTGCTCTTTTGTGGGTAAGAGCTACTTGATCATCCATAACTCGATCATCCAACGTGATTAACATGATCCGCAGAGTCGTCGCCACCCGTGAAGCTCTGCCTGGTTTCTGGATCTTCATGTACCGAATCAACCCATTGACATACCTAATCAACGGCCTGTTGTCAACCTCCCTAGCCAATGCACCTATGAGGTGCGCGTCAAATGAGTACCAGGTATTCAATGCGCCAGAAAACATTACATGCGGAGAATACATGAAACCGTTTATGTCCATGGCAGGCGGGTACTTGGTCGACGAGGGCGCCGAGACGTGCCAGTACTGCCCAGTTACAGACACAAATGTGTTTCTGCACCACTACAATGCGGAATTTGATGAGAGATGGAGGAACTTTGGAATCCTGTGGGGCTTTGTGGTGTTTAATATCGTTGCGGCGTTATTTCTTTATTGGGTGATGAGGGTACCAAAGAACCGGAACAAGGACTAATGTGCAATAATAGATGTGGATAACTATCTGATAAAGGATAATTAGAATACTATCTTTTAGACACATACCTCTCTTCCCAAAATAGATCTCGGTTATAGACACTATCTGAGCCCTGTGTTTTCCCATCTATGACTGTCATGTATGCACTACAATACGACAATTTACAAGTTATGTAGCAGCCACAAGACAAGGATGTGTTATTTGGATGAGACGTTATACTATAATAGAAAGGTGATATACCTTGTATTGTCAATACCGTATTTCGGCCTACTCGATGGCTTTGAAGCTTTTGATCTTTCCTGTTTAGGAAGGATCTTCTAGTATTATAGGATTATTGCCCACCTGAGTGCATGCCTGAGCACCTTGCTGCCGGAGCGCTTGTTCAGCCTGTTCAAAGCCTGAGATCTCTTGATTTCTAGAACCTCTAGGCCTCCCATGTGCCAGTATAACCAGCGGTTCTAGGAGGCCATTCAATTGGTGGATCTGGATCTAGATTAGATAGATCAATCGGTTCAGGCGGATCATCCTGTAATATCAGCCGCTGAGAATAGAAGGTTGAATTAGGCAGTGGCTCCCTAGGTACATAATGATATAGAATGATATGAATACAAGGGATTCCTAGTGTTTTGGTAGTAATCTCTGTACAATATTCAATTGGTGGCTTTTCTGGATCTATTTGTAAGGGATAATACCCGCAACGTTCGATAAACGATCAGAGCTATCAAAACAAGGAGAAAACACTGAAGGGGAAGAAGGAAGAAGGAAAGAGTCAACAACGGTGGGACAATAAGGTACCACAAGAAGGAGGGGTGAAATATACCACGTGACGAATACCTATACCAGGGTCACACCTCACTTCCCACTAGCGATTATATATATTTGTCTTTTCTTTTCTTTTAATTTAATAGAAAAAAAAAATAAAAAAATAAGAAACCATACATAAAGGGAAAGTTGCATTCTGCATTTGGCGCCTAAGCATCTACCGATCGAATCTATCTAGAGCCGTAATGATAGGCTTTGGATGAGGGAAGAGACGCGGTTCCAAGTGGCCGGAATCGCGTTATCTTTATCCCGATATCACAAACACAGAAAGGGAAAGGAGCCCGCAATTGAACACCAATCGCTACGCGCAGGTTTACAGGAAAATCGGGAGGGAATGTCGACATCTAGTTATCATAGTTATTGTTGTTGGTCGGGCCATTTTTTTGGCGCCTTTGAGCGCGATTCCAAAAGATGGTCATCTTGGCAGACAACCGCCCCGGTTTTTAGCGGATGGATTGGGTTTTCGAAGCAAGAAAGGAAGCAGTTGGCAAAAGGCAGATTACCTCGGACGCGGTCCGATTTAGAAATCTCTGAACCGGAGCACCGGGACAGGACTGCTCCTGATGCCCACGTGGCTTTGCTCATTTGGGTAAGCCCAACAGCGCCGTGTATCTCCTTGACGTAATGCTCTCCCACTTATGATCCACAATTCTGGAACGCTGGCCGTTTGCACCCTTTCCTGGAAGGCTCACTTACCTCGATGCCATATCGAAATACCTTTGGTGGGCCCATCTACACAACCGGTGGTCCTTGGCAGCAGCGGGACAAGGTTGCTCTTTCACAAAAAGCAGGAGACTCTCGGCCACCGTGTACGCCTGTTGTCCACCCTGTTCTTTCCATTTCCCGCCCCTCTCGCTTCCTTCTCTTACCTTCCCTTTCTCTTTGCTTTTCCCCTCTTCACATTTCTTCTGTCACCCTTCCCCCCCCTCTACTCTTTCTACGAGGCGATGCCTTTACTCCTAGATTAGTTTGCAATTCGGAAGGGTTTGAACCGCCTGCTAGAGCCGTCGCCTCTTAGTCGCGCGCTCAGTCTGCATCGATGTGTGAGATCGCTTCCGCGCGGGACAGTAGCACCGGCGCACCGGCGGCCAAAAATCACTGCGATGGTCAGCTCGCCCAAACGGGCAGTCGGCTTGCTGTTCATGGAGGAGATCTTGGATGGAAGTGGGGAAGCCACCGATGGCCCTGTACCTGGCGACCCCGCGAATGCCTAGCTGCAGGGTCTGGTGGATGCTCGACACGCGGAAGGTGACTCGCTTGCGGTAATAGCCACAGGTGAGACAGCCCTGGTCGTGATCAACGGCACCCAGGTCACTGCCGTCGTCGAGCGCGAAGCGCGCTCCGGGGAAGTGGGACAGGGTCTGCTCAACAAGACCGGCGGCGCCATACTTACAACAGAGGATCGACCCGCGGCACTCGTAGTGCCCGCGGGTGAACAGTGGCTCCTCGTCCAGTTCGAAGAAGAACGACTTGGCCAGCCAAGCCTGGGTCAGCTCGTCGGGGATGTGGTATTCATACTCACCTAGTTCGTGAAGGGCGCGCACGTCGTCCAGTTCAGGTAGCGCGCCGGAGACAACCCGGTCCAGGCGGAAGGTCTCCTGCTTGACACTCTCGGGGATGCTGTCGTGCGCGTCCTGCCAGCCGCGTCGCCCATCGACCGCCGGCGACGACAGAAAGGCCCGCAGGCCGCGTTCAACGAAACTCTCTCGCCGCAGGTGGACAGGTCCGTCGTCGGCCGACGTATAGCCGGTGCCGATGCTGACCACAAGGTCGGGTCGTTTGGCTGTCGGCCAGATGATCTCACTCTCGCGGAGAGCGGTTCGAAGCGGACAATTCGCCCGAACTCCACCGTCTTGGAAGGTCCCAAGGCCCAGGAGTCGTTTGGGGGTGAAATACCTGTTGGGGTAGGTTAACGCGGTGGGTCGGTCGTTGTCCCGACTCACTTCCAGCATGTCCCGAGATACGTACCCTAAGGCAGCCACACAGCACCGAGCACTGCCGTTCAGTGTTAGCCATCATCTCCCAACAATACGAACCAAGGCATCGATGGCTCCGCCGCAGCGCCGAGGGCCAATACTAGTATGGGTGGCCTCTTTCCCCTCATCCTTCCTCCTCTTTTTTCGCATATAGCACCCAACTTTTTATTTTATTTTATTTTTTTTTTCCCCCTTTTTTATTTGCCGCACTGTGAGCCGCTTTTATTTACGTCCCCTTGACCACGCCGGCTTATCGCCCTCTTCACAGTGCTTTTGGTCCAGGTGTCGGTGTCGCCGGCTTCTGCCTCGATGGCCTTCGGCTATTGGAAGGGTGAAGGGGGACTTACATTTCCCACAAAAATGGCTCCTGCTCAGGCACTAGTGCTCTATAGGCGGACGACATCCGAAGACGGCCCGCCGCTCGATAGTTGGAGAACAGACAGAGCGACCCGTCTTCGACCTGGCTGGCTGTTAGAGCCACTCGGATGCCGGATACCAAGGGTTTCGTGGTATCGAACAGTCGGCGGTCGCGGCCAAAGCCATCCTGCAGAGTTCGGTTCAACACGGCCGAGTCGTACCGGCTGTCGGCCATCCAGGCCGTCACCCAGCCCCACGATTGTCCCAAGATCGTCTGCCAGAGGGGCCGTTGGGAAAAGACCTGACGTGCCAGGGTATTGAACTTCGGATGGGCGTCGGCCACGTTGGCACCGCAGACCATTACGTCGGATGCGATGATGGCGCCTGGGATGCGTGAAGGAAAAGAGTTATGTTCAGCTTCAACCGTGCCAGTGACCGCCCCAATCCGACGACCACCACTCAGGACCACTTACCGACACTGGTTCCCAGCGTGAGGTCAAATGCCTCACGCAGTCCTCGCGTGCGGCCGATCTGATCCTCGAGGGCCTTCAAGAACCCCAGCGTGACGACGCCGCGGGTGCCGCCTCCGTCCAGGACCAGGATGGTAGGCCGTTTGGTTGGAGGGAGCAAACGGACGGTGAGGGAGAACGACACCTGACACGCGGGACACTCGGTTAGCTCGACGTGATATTCCGCGCCAGCGGCACGTTGGCCCAAAATGCACGCGCAGACGTCGCAGAGGGCATGCCTGCAGGGCAGCACATGCTCGGGGGGCCGCTGCAGACAGAACAGGCACACCCGATTCGAATGGAGCGTCGACCAGGTTGACTGGCCGTTGCGGAACACCTCCCGTCGGATCTGTGCGGACCGGCCGGTCACGGCGAGGGTGGAAAAGAGCGACACGAACTCGCGTTCGACGGCACGGTGGAGACGGCGAACGCTGGCGGAGGGAGATGCGGCGCATGCGGCCTTGCAGGGCTCGGCGTAGAAGGTGCGGAACGTCACGACGGGATCGAATCCTGCGGCAGTCAGTCAACCAGCACCACCATGGCCGCCACGACGACATCGCCCCGGAGCCGGTGCTACTCACTGTGCATTCCGGGCGGATATGCATCCATAAGGAACGCCGACGCAATGAAGGTTGCCGTGAATGGGTCCGCTATCTGGGTCTTCTCGGTGAGCTGCAGGAAGATTCCGAGGTATTGGGCGACCTCATCAGCATCCAAGTGCTGGGGACGGCACGCTTGGATGCAATTGAATGGCGACGCAGGGCCTTGCGCGACGTGTCGCAGCAGTCCCCGGAAGATCCACTCCAGATGGAGGGCGGAGAAGAGGAGATGTGCGTTGGCACGCAGCGTGCGCACCTCGTCCAGCTCCAGCGACAGCCGTCGCCGGAGGGGCTCGAACCGGCTGAACCGCGACAACGGCTGCCGGGGCCGCAGGTCGACAACCGCGACGGATCCTGCGAGATGGGGCACAGCCGTGGCCTGCAGCGTGGTTTCTATCCCGCCTGCCGGGACTGCATCATCGTCGGGGTCTGTCAGGACAATCACCCAACGGGGACGCACGGGAGCCGTTGCGCCGTCCAGACCGGTCGGCGGCAGCGGGCCCCACGATGCGAGCAAGTGTTGGACATGACGGATGCCGCCGCAGTCGGCTGCGAAGACGCACACGGTGTCCACGATCGGGAGTAGGACGTCTCGGTACAGCAGTGACCGAAGATCCTCGTGGGAGCTTCCCCGAGTGCGGGGGATGGGGTATCGCCGGAGTGGCTCCTGCTGGGATGGCCCGGGCGGGGATGTGCGCGAGAGGCTGCTCTCGATAACTATAACCGGATGAGATGTGGCCGCGCCGGACAGGTGCAGTTGAGCCCAACCCTGCTTCCGGTGACGGCCAGTATTGTTATGCGGATACAGCGATCGGAGCGCCTGCGCCTTGGCAGTGTGTCCTACAAAGAGCGCGATGGAAGGGTGCTGATTGGCAGGGCAGTCCATTCCGTTGATGACCCTCCGCATCGCGTCGTTGTCCGTGATGGCCCAGCCCCCCTCGTCATGTTCCAGTCCCAACCATGCAGCCATATCTATGCAGTGAGAACCCGCCCCTGACTGATTGTCTCTTGGATGGCCCGCTTCGCCCAAGTCGATAACGTCACCTTCCTGTTTGTTCTGCCACCATGTGCCGTGGCCCGCGGCTGTTTTATAGTACCGTCGAGGGAGGCCTTGAAACACATGTCTCCCCCTGAGCGACGCGCGCATGCAAAGTTGAGGATGGGAGGGTACATCGTGGGGCATCCAGATTCTGCCTGGAGTGCTTTTACGTTCTGCGTTGCGCTAAAGCGTGTAGCTCTACTTGACCAACAAGAATACCGACACGGCTACCGGAGGGCCCGAGGGATTGGGGGTTGTTTTCCCTACTTTTGAATTATCCGCGTCTCAACCAGAGACAAATAAACATATCGTGATGGCGCCAAGGGGAACGCTAAAAACAAAGAAAAAAAAGAAACAAGAAAGGGATGGGGAGGAGAAAGAAAACTAAAACAAGGACAGAAAAGAGCCTAATATGATGGCCCGGTATCCAAGAACACAGCGAGAAAAGAGGGTGGATAACAAGCAACAAGTGATACATTGACATTCCGGCGTCCACCACGCTCTCCATAAAGAGCAACATTTCTTTCTGGTCAGGTATGTTCAAAAGCTATGCCCTTGCTACAGAATCGGAGGGCAGAGTCTTCGCTGGATTATAACGACGCCGTGGCCCTAACCCTTTCCTGGAGGGGCAATTCAAACGATACGGCCGTACGGCCGAGGGACTGCGTCTTTCTCGCGTCTATTTTTCGCCCGTCTTTGTTGGTATATTTGAGTACATACTGGGCACTGAGTCAGTGTGATGCCCGCACAGGGGGCACGGGCGTGAAGCCAGTACTTACTGAATGCGAGTGAAATCTTCAGAGCATTTTCTTGATTCTTGCTCAGGGACTTCCGCGCTGCCCTCTGCTCGACCGTGGTCGACGGAAGGGTCTGTGATGTTGACACGCCGGCGAGAGGTGCTTGGGCGTCCTCCGAATCGGGTGTGGGGGCCGGCTCAGGGCTCGAGGGGACACTCCACACGGATTTCCGTCGCGCTCGCGAGGGCTGCTGCGGGCTGCAGGACGTTGCTTGTGGGAGGTCATCCGAGGACTCTGTTTCTGCCGTTGTCTCGACGTCTGCCGGCGGCGTTGTCTCGCTCCCAACCTGCGGGACCCAGCCCCATTGAGCGCGATACCATTGCCCGCGCAGCGCATTCACCGTTCTTGGAATGCCGAACTTCTTGAGCCATATCCGTTGAATATCTTTCCAAGGGGTATTCTTCTGCCTCAGCTTGGTAATCCAAGGAAGAACAGCCTTGAACTCATCAGACCCCCACTTTCTGACCACCGGGCTCTTTCGCCTTGACCGTGTGAATAACATGATTGCCCCCAAGGATATCTGACCCGGTGAAACTTTCGGCAGGGCAGAGCAGAGTCGCAATTTGTTGCTCTTAGCGAAACATGCATCCTGGGTTGGGCAACAAGGGTTGACCGTTGGTTTATGACCTCGGAACTTGCAGTGCGTCTCTTTTTGGGGGGTGGATCCACTGGAACCCGACAGTCGTTTTCGGTGGACGTCTCTATCACGTTCAGCACTCCGACATGCTTGATCGCGCCGTCGTGAGACTCCTGAGCGGTTCGCCTACAAGGGTGGAGCTTCTACTGTACAGGTGAACATCAGTGTTGGCACACTATGGTCGCCTGGCTTCCCCTAAAGCCTTGGCATCGGTTGGTCTGTGTGCGTCTCCAGGCCCTCATTTCCCCCCTGGCTTAGCTCCAGTTGCGGTGGAGCTTAGTTGTTCCTAGTCGGCTCCACTGCAACCATCTGTTGCACTGTGATGGACAACTAACGGTCAACAACTAGTATTGGATCTCTAGGAATAGTTTTTACGGCATCTGAATTTCGCCCAACGTTGGATCAACATGAGCCGAGGATCGAAACCGTGCAATTCATGCCAAGCATCCGAAAAAGCGAGGGCCACCCTAATGGAGGGGGGGGGGCAAAAAGAAATAAGATTCTGAAAATTAAAATAAAACAAAAAACAGAAAATAAAAAATAAAAAATCAAAAAGAGAAAGGACAGGAAGAAAAGGAGATGACCAACGGTTAAAGCTCAAAGCAGCATTAGAAGAGGATTCTATGTCCTCCTGGATCCACTACGAATTGTGGTTATAAAAATTGCACCTCTTTGTGCAGCCTGTCCATCATTGTGTTTTCCCTACGGTTGGGAGGCATTGGGGACTTTTGATACAAACATACCGTCCAGCGATCCTATTCTGCTGTTTGAACCATGACCGATAGCTCAGGGATCGATAGCTCAGGGACTCCTGCGACGGCCCGGGGGAGCTGGCGGATAAACAAACCTAGACGACGCAGAGCCAGACATTCCCAACGAGTGACCGAGAGCAATAGCCAAGCAGCCCAGGCCGGTGACGCACATGGCGATGATTCCCGTGCAGATGCCCTCGGCGAGCCTGATTCGGAGTCGGATAACGCTTTTGAGAAGATCATGCAGCGGAAGGAGATTCGTGAAGTCGTGAGTATGTTCCGAATGCTGGAGAATCGATGGCATCCTCACCCTCCATAGGCTACACAATTGGTTCACGGGAAGATGGAGGGGTATTGGACAGTCGTGGCCAACCTGTGCGCATTGCTTCAGATGGCCTGGAGGAGGGCGCCATTTCTTTTTCCACTGATGAAGGAAGCATTGGGACCCAATCGCGCACTGATTACCCTCATCCGGAAAGGACCCCATGCCGACATCATCCCGCAAAGTGTGCTTCCGTGGCCGTGCTGTGACGATGAACAACCTGGCTCGCCTGCTGGTCCGGCGCGCCTCTCATCGCCCTCGCCCGCGGTTCCGAGCCCTGACGCGCCGATTGTTCAACCGCAGACGGCGAACGGTCCATCGTCGGCGACCCCGGCGGCACCGTCGATGTTGACTGCGCATCACCAGCCTCCAGCCGTGCAAAGCACGCAGGCAGCGGCATCTGAATGGACTGCTGCCGCAGCGGTAGGGGGCGGCCACCCGCTTCAGCAAACCGCCCAACCTCCGCAGAGCCAGGCTTCCAATCCGTCACCACCGGCTCCCCGCAGTGGCATCCCTGACCATCCGCCAGCTGGTCAACTGGGAGTGCCGCCGAACACTGTGGCTCAGCCTCAGACATGCTCGGGGTCCGTGACATACCAACCGCCGCCCACAGCCGGTTTGACGACGGCTCCTGCGCCAGGCCCAGCAGGCCCAGCAGGGCCGCCCGCCCGCCCCCCGGCGCCCATGCCCACTGCATCCCAACCGCCACAAGCGCCGCTATGGACCGCGGATGCTGTCCCGCACATTACCTCTGTTCAACCGCCGTCGGCGCCGGGAGTGGTGCCGGGGTCCTATCCCGGACAGTCAGTGAGTCACGGCGTGGCTGCGGGCATGCCGCATCCCTCGCAGCCGCAGGTTAACCAGTCGATGCACCCTACCGCTCTCGCGTACGGCTCATTGCACCCGCAGGTGACTTGTCACCTCCCCTCCGGCCAGCTCTACGTCGGCCCAGCCGGTCAGGTTGTACAAGCTGGCCATGCGTTTCAAACCGGTCAGGCTGGTCAGGCTCTTCAAACTGGCCAAACCGGTCAAGTTGTCCAGACCGGTCAGGCTATTCAAGCTGGTCAGGCTGTGCAAGCTGGTCCGACTGCTCAAACTGCTCATACTGTTCAAGCTGTGCAAGCTGGTCTAGGGGCACCACCGCAACCTTCGTTTCCGATGGCCCACGGCCAACCTGCCGCTGCGGTCCCAAACAGCGGCGGCTTGCTGACCGCAGCCCAACCCGTTCAGCACTGGACGCCCGGCGTGGCGGGACTGCCGCAGGCAACGACGCAAACCGTCCCTCCAACGCAACCGGTAAACGCCGCGCTGTCCGCCCAACCAACAGACCCGTGTCAGGGAACGCTGGTGCATCCCGGGCAGCCGCAGGCATCAACCCAACCATCCACCGGGCACCCTCCCGTCGAACCATCTCAGCAAACACCCTGGCCACCCCAGCAGCAGAATGACTCTGCGATGGACAGTGACCCGTATGGGCTGAGCCTTCTGGATTCTTGGTCTCTATTTAAGTAATCTCTGGCGGGTGTTTTATTCATCTATTGTAACTAGCTTTTCCTAATGTCAGAGCCCATCTTTCTTCCATCCTTCGTGATTCTCGCCAGCTGTCCTATTTCCTAGATCCTAGTCCTGCCGGATTCTCACTGGCAGAACAACATCAAACGCTGCTCGTATTGTGAACCTCTGGGGCCTTTTTTTCTCGCGGGAGCCACTGGCTATCGTCGCGGGCTCGTTCTGTGTGTCTATAATAACGCCTAATGTCCGGTGGAGTGCCCAATCCGTGGCTATCCTACATCTTGAATGTGCTGGAACCAGACGACGGGAGCCCCGGCTCAGATGCAACCAGCCCCTCGTCTGAATCTGTCCCCGAAGAGTATCCCCAGCCCTTTAGCCTCTGATGCATTTCACCGTTTCGCTAACTGCGCCTGCGATCAAGGATGGCCAGCGATGTCTCAGAGGATGCTCTGAACGCGTAAGCTCCCCCATTGTCTTAACCAATGACTGCGACCGCATGCTCATCTCCTGTCTACCAGGGCCACGGAGGAAATTCGGTAAGAACGCGAAGACTCCACTTGGCCTCCCCAAGTTGCTAGGACTCACGATGGACCTAGCCGATTGCAGGCGGATATGACTCGGTAAGGCTCGCAGCGGAAACTCCCTTGGTGGACACCGGTCCTAACATTGCCATGAAGCTATCGGGGTGAGGTCGAGGAGCACATCCGGTACCATTCCCTTCCTGTGCCACTTTCCTCTTCGCTAGCTGACCATCCTGGAGATCCCTGAAGCGGGCCCTGGACGAGACCAATGAGCGGTACGTGGACAGAAACCTAGGGCGCCACCCATTCCGCTTCACTCGCCGAGTGGTGATCATGGCATTTTAAGCTAGGCTAACACCTCCCGTGGAAAGGTACACAACCGAGATTCGGTACTATCCCCCGCCTCGGCCGAATGGTGCGGTCCGGGAGTCTCTGGGGCGACTATTGAATGCTGACCATGGTAACAGTGATATCCGCCAGTGTATGGCGAAGATGTGGGAATATGAACAGGATATGAAAGCATGGACAACCAAGGCCGGAGAAACAATCAACAAGCTCTGCAAGCGCCAGGGGAACTAATCTGGGTTGGGGGGCCGAGAAGATTGCCGCGAGCAAAGTCCGACTCTTCACCTAGTCCCATCTTGGACCCATGTGGCGTTGACAATGTCGGGATCACAGCGCACATCATTCTCCGATCGAACAGCGAGGAAGAACTGCGGCTCTAGAGCGAAACTTAGATGGGTGGGGGGGCTGCCCCTCTTTTCTTTTCCTTTCCTTTCTTTCGTTTTCTTTTCTTTTAGTGTGTGTGCGTTTCCTACTGCGAAGAAAGTTTCGGCGAAATGGAAGGCATCTGGAGGCAGTAAGGAAGGTTCCATCAAAATCTCGGAGGAAAAGCAAATTGCAGCTTAGACTAATTTGGATGACTCGGCGCTAATGCACTCCATACCTTAAGTATATCAGTCACGCACATTAGAGGGCGGGCGGGCGGGTGCATGCAGTGATCTGCCATGATCTTCATGCAGCCTTGAAGAAAAATCTACCTTAGAATGACAGCCCGGGCTGCTCACGATAGTGGGCTTATAGAGAAGGGTATTCTTCACCGCCGACCTCTGGTCACTAAAATTAATCAATTTGCTCGGTGTTTGCCGTCAGCACTCGTAACTCGATCCATACAGCAGGAAAGACAGCTTTGTCGGACCCCCCCACATGACCCCCACCTCTCTTGCTTTCCAAAGCACCAGGTCGAAGAAGAGTGTTGGAGAAAGAAAGGGGGCTGCCGACCTCCAATGAAAAACCGGTCGGATCCGTACTATCTCCCCAAGTGCCTTCGCCGAACCATGTATCCCCCAAGGGCGCGCTTGGGAGCAGAAGTCAATGCCATTAGGCCCAGGCCAAGCAATGGCCCCAGCGTAACCGACGCCCAGCCGGTTCAAATCCTCTTCCTCCTGGTCTGCCACTTATACATGGCCGGGGAGAATACTCTTACACCAGGGATTGAGGGAGTGACACCGATGTGCAGATAACGTCAACACGGAACTGACAACTACGACTAAAAGAAAGGGGGGGGGAAAAGGCGTACAAGCAATTGAGAGGAAAACCAATCTGGGGTTGCCGACCGGAAGCTTGTCTTGATACAACAATGCCAGAGAGTACCGATGATCCTCGCGTTGTTCCCTAGGCGTTCTAGATAAGTCTCCGTTACTCTGTTACTCAGGCCTTTGTCGCTGCTTCGGAAATTGATTGTTTGGTGGGGATCTTTCACATGATTCTGTCGATTTGCAGTCATTCCAACGACAGTCAATTCCAAATACCAGAGGAGGGGGCAATTGGACAGGAGCTGGCATGTGTCTCACGACGTCGGGTAGGGCCATGGCGTGTCCAACGGAATCCTCTTAGGGCTGTTGCTTCGCTCGGTTCTGAATAGAGACTATTGGGGTCCTACTCGATTCGGTATAGTGTTTACTGGCGCTAAAAGTACGGGTGGGTCTCGCTGAGCGGAACCACGGAAATGCCGGGTCTCCTGCGATCGGCGTATCCGACCAACCCGGGTGCTGTTTGCCTCCCTCGCTCTTCCTCTCTGTCTGATGCTCTCTCTCTCTCTCTCCTTTTTTTTTTTTTTTTTTTCGTCGCTTATAATGGCTATATCATTCTTGCATGTGACGCTTCCAGCATGCTCAAACTACCTTTCCAGTGACTCATGAGACGAGCCTGCCTACGAAACCTCTTTCTTGAATGGCAGGCATACGGCTATAAAATGATTCAGCTGTGCTTCTCTGTTACGCTGCTTTACTGATATTCTATGTATATAATCTATTGGATTCCTTGCTAAAATATTGGTCTAAATATAATAGAAAAGATAATCTTCTATAATTTTGCATATTATCTTGTTTTTGCTCTTGTGCATAGTCTCTCATATCTTACACTCTCGCTAACGAAGATGAGGAACTGGTAATATCCCCTTCTGGTACGCCCTGGATATGTTGTAGTTGTCTATACTTCACGGTGAACAGTAAAGCCATGTCCACTTATTTTGCTCTGCCTCTCTCTCCCTCTTATTTTTCCCTTCTTTTTTTTATTGCATGAGCTACATGTAAGCTAGTATGTAATTACGGAACGTGTGGCAAAAGTGTTGCTGTAAAAAGTAAAATGCTATACTTTCGTTCCGTGACTGAGGTGCTAAACAATTCAATAGCGTTTGCTAGTAACCCCAATCTCATAGTCCACTATACAGTTGGGAGTCGTTACTGCTGTCATCCCCCCTATACTCTTCGATTGTTTTTCGAACCCTAATGCCAAGTCCGCTAGCCTATTATAGGAAAGGTCCCGATTTAATGTGTTTTCATAACGCTGTACCGCATGGTATTTATGTATTGCATTACCAAAGATCATGTATCTTACATGTATAGATTATACAGGCACAACCTTGGTTACCCCACCATGATGTTTGCTGCGGATAATCTCCTGACGATCAATCTTACCACAGGGATACGATGGCACCCAACCTGGCGCCTTCGCAACATCAAATTATTTGTGATATGATCAAATGTGATCCATCACTTACTAATGCCCAGATATCTGAAGCTGCTAACTGCAGCACGCGTGCAATTCCTAGGATTCGCTCAAATCTCCGGCTATTCGGCAGTAGCAAAGCACCTCCAGATAAAGGTGGGCGCCCACGAAGCATCTCGCCAATAATGCTGGAGGCTCTTTGCGATCATCTTCTGGAAAAGCCTGATCTATACCTTGACGAAATGGCCATTTTCCTATGGGATGAGTTCCAAATATGCGCAACTACATCTGGTATCAGGCGTGCTCTGTCTTCTAAAGGTTGGTCAAAGAAGGCAGCTCGGCAGAAAGCCAAGGAACGAAACTCAGATCTGCGAGATATGTATTTCCATCTAATTTCAGATTTTCATTCCTATCAACTCGTATACGTTGACGAATCCGGATGTGATAAACGAGTTGGTTTCCCCTCGGTACAGCTCCGATTCAAGTATCCTAAATTTCATCGTGAGGAGCGGTATCAAATATTGCCTGCATATTCTCAGGATGGTATTGTTCTTTCACGTGTCTTCCAAGGCTCGACCGACACCTCTGTCTTCGAGGATTTTATTGAGGAGCTTCTCCAGCACTGTGGAAAGTGGCTACAACCGAAGTCTGTCTTAGTTATGGACAACGCATCTTTTCATTACTTCGAGCGGATAGAGTAAATGTGCTTGGAAGCTGGAGTTAAGCTGGTGTATTTGCCGCCATACTCGCCGGACCTAAATCCCATCGAGCAGTTTTTGCTGAGTTGAAAGCTTTCATTCGGCGGCACTGGAGCTCGTATGAAGATAGCCCTGATCAAGGATTCAATATTTTCCTTGAATTGTGCATCGATGTTGTAGGGCAAGGAAACAAAGTGCAAAAGGGCATTTCCGGAATGCAGGCCTGACAATTGAAGCGTTTTAACCGAGTTCACATACTATCAGCGTTGCCGTTGTTGAGCCGATTTCTTAAATTTTATGCCAATTGTACGTTGGCTCCTTGCATAACATATTGAATATAATTTGCCGTACTACGGCTACCGCGAAATGACTAATCATGATAAACCTTGGCCTGTTAAGACGGATGCATTTATCCCGATTCCGAAGAGGGCTTAGTACAGCTGATGATGATGATGATGATGATGATGATTCATACGCCGACCCCTCGCCTCAGGGCGATATGCGGGACCGCCACTATCTCTACTCTATCTGTGTGTCTATTTGGCTTAGTACAGCTGGATGCAATACCGGTGCAAATGTTTATACTCTTCAATACTTTCTGGTACCCTCATATGAAACACGCTAAGCCATATTTGTAAAGGCTTCCGGAAGCCCTTGTTACGGGATTCTGTATTATATGGTACTGGCCGTTCCATGACGCAAAGTATTTTAAATAACCTGTATCACCACGTACTATCACTAGCCATGTCACCAACATGAACCCGTTTGGAAATGTCAAAGCACCCCCAAAACAAGGGCGGCCGCCCACGGAGACTCACACCAGTTATGCTTATAGGCCCTCTATGATCACCTACTTGACAAGCCCCCATTATATCTTGACAAGATGGCTGTATTCCTATGGGATGAATTTCAGGTAGACGTCAGTCGTGCTCCCAGGTGAGGGTTGGTCAAAAAAGGCTGCCAAGTATAAAGCAAGAGAGCGCACCACGGATCTACGTGACGCATGCAGATATTCCGGAAATTGCCTTACCACCTATACCTTTCGACTGATTTCCAAACTCTAACGCCAAGATGACGTAGCCATCAATGATTACACGGCCTGGCAAAAATCCCGCGTTAGTCGCGATATCTTCAAGTGTTGTGATTCAAGGGAAGATTGAACTGTTGTTCTCTCATCGTAAACTTGAGGGTTTATATACAACATGAACATCAGACTGCATACGAAATTTATTCCGTAGATGAAGCTCTGTAATTTACTTGATCGAGCCTTGGTTCACAAACATCAAGTAACAGATGGTCATTGCCTGCAATGTGGCATTGGGAAACTGTCTGGGTCTTGGGTAGGTCCATAAGGGCCAGGGCTCGGGGTTTTTCATCAACCAGGGCAGGAAAGTCAGTGCTGCTCGCCGGTTTGTCAGTGAGATCAAGAGCTGGCTTGAAGAATACGGAAGAGACAGGGAGACTCAGGGGAGGGTTTGGATTAATGTCCATATCGCGCCAGCTGTACAGTACGAGTCGAAATCTTATTTTACCCCATAGACTACCATATCTAAACCCTAACGCCAAAGCGCCATTTCATGCACAAGTCTATGTCTGGCAATATGCAAAATTAAATGAATCCGATGCTCTTAAATAAGGCTCGGTTGTCGGGTGATGTATTTATGGTATGAAGACCAGGTGATATTCGACAGCGTGATATCACGTGATTCATCCATCAGGCGGTTCTATGCTTCTCGCACTGGCAATTCTCGAGACCGTTACTATCATCTCCCGAGATCGACTGTCAATTGTTGGCGCCAAGATCTGCGTTGTACAGCATGGCGACACCCGTCGATACGGTACTGAGCAATGAATTCACCGCATTACGGATGGCTAAAGCTCTCAGTTGTCAAAAATATGAAATGAGGAGTGTTGAGTCCTGCGATCAATCGGAAGAACTATGTTCCACTTCCCTTCTCTATTTCCCGCAACCTCAAGTGGAAACTTACTCCGTCAGGCTTGGGTAGTAAGGCCATTTCTTGGTTCTGGTCACTAATCTTAGGATACGCTTCACGTGCGAAAATACCGCAGCTTTCGCACGATGCACAGCAGGGTTCCTATACCAAGGATAGCTGTGCCGCCTGGTCAGCAGCACACTACACGTACTCGTAAGGCATGTCAACCTTGCCGTGAGCGGAAGCGCAAATGTAGTGGGGATCAGGAAATTTGCAGGCAGTGCGAAGAGGAAGGCCTCACTTGCGTCTATCGTGAATCCAAGCGACAGCAGACAGACAAGTGCGTGTGGTCCTGTTTTTGTTCCCTACCAGCATACTAATGACTGCTACAAGAGAATTACGGTCTCTCGCAAATCAGTTGCAGATTAGCCACGCATTATTGCGAGAGGTACTGCCGGAGCTCGGTTCAGATTCTGCTCGACGTGTTGAAGCAGTTCTGGGTAAAGTAACACGTCTGTTCCCTAGATTGCTTTCCACAGCTCACAGATGAAGAATGCTACAGAGACACTGACGGAACCCATCAGCTTGTCTCCCGTAGTACAACAGTCCAATATATCCGATAAAGAAGTGAGCTCCAACAATGATATGCAAAGGACGGTATCCGACTTTACGGAGGAGGATTTTAATCGAGATTTAAAAACCCAGGCCACTGGCTTTTTGGGTGGTCATTCCGAGATAGCATGGTTGTACAGGCTGAGGAGAGAGCTTGAACAGAGCCAGCCTTCAGCCATGGCTGGACAGGAACCTGTTTCCCAGGATCAGCGGACTTATCGGGATTCAATTACGACAATGAACTATTCAGCTGACGAGAGTGATCTCCCAATAGACATGAATGTCGACGTCTTTGCTGTGCCACCCCGGAATATCGCCGACGATTTGATCAACTGCTACCTTCATATCGTACACCCATCCTTTCCGATTATTAGCAGAACATTGTTCGTGAAGCAGTTCACATCGTTCTATTCAAAAATGGACGTGAGACCGGGAAAAAGGTGGCTAGCTATTTTGAACCTAACATTGGCTATAGCCTCTAGATACAGAGGCCTATCGTACGGCGACAATGGAAAAGGAGAACATTACGATGATCTGAAATATTTCTGCAGAGCATGGAAACTGAACGCGGCGGACTTTGCCTTGGCTAATCATCCTGACCTTCAACAAGTGCAAGTTGAAGGCCTGACGTCATTTTATCTGCTGTCAATTGGACAAGTTAACAGGTATGATATGCCTCTCGATATTTCCATGTTTGCTGTACTGACTTTTACCACCGCTAGGTCGTGGAGGTTCTGCGGTCTGTCAATGCGGTCAGCTATCACAATGGGGATTCATCTTCGAAATGAGAGTCCCGACGTTTCACCCATCTCCAAGGAGAATCGCTATTGGGTTTGGTGGGCTCTATATACACTAGATATTACCCTATGTCTCAAGACCGGCCGTGGCCCCAGTGTGAATACCGAGTTCATTACTGCTCCGCTACCACTGCCGTTTGGAGACGAAGCATTGTGGAAAGTAAGTGGCCCAGCATTGATTAGAGAGTATAGAGACAACAGTCAAGTAATCGGTCCACACCCTTTGCTGCTCCACCACCAACGGCATAGTCAGAACTCAGAGGCATCTCGGACTTCTATATCGTCTGTACCTGACGGCCTGGAGACAAACAAAGGAGTGAGCTGTGGCCCCGCGCTTGATACTTCGCGCTATTTTCTTTCTTTTGTTCAGCTGACCCTCCTGATGAGGCAGTCTATTGAATCTCTATACGCTCCTGCAGGTTCGAGTGAACCGTGGAAGGTCCATGAGGATATCACTATTTCACTAAATACAAAATTAGACAACTGGTCCTCGCGGCTTTCGCCTGAACTACAGTTTCAGGACACGAAAGTTCAGTCTGATATTTATATCAGGCAGCGAGTGAGCCTGGCATTTCGTTTCTACAGTACAAAGCTTCTGCTTCTTCAGCCTTGTCTTCGTCGAGCAACGAAGCAACCTAACAATGCGCTATGCGAGAAGTTGGCCGATTCATGTGTGGAATCAGCGTATCAGATGCTGTCACTGTTTCCTGACTGTCCTGATACTTCCTGGCTTTACAATATCTCGCCTTGGTGGTGTACGCTTCATTATCTTATGCAGTCCATGATTGTTTTCCTGATGAAGCTGCAGCATAGGAAGCAAAAAGGCTTAGTCACTACGGTTAAACTTGCAGATAGTGTGGAAAAATCTGTTCGTTGGCTAAGAGAAATGTCAACCAGAGATCCTCCATCTGAAAGAGCCTGGAAGATTTGCAAAGAAATCATCATGAAACATTTTCCTGTATATAACCTCGGAGCAAACTTTACAAATTAATGGTCTCGCTTAAGTGGTGTTGCGCCACTTAGCTCCTGCATAGCCTGCAGTAAGCACCTCACTTCCAGGATGGCAGGATACAAACAGGAAAGTGACTGTTGACAGTTTGCCAGATGCGCCAGGCACCCGCCCGCACTTTCGCTGGTTTGCATGGAACCTTCCAGTCACCCATGGATCGCCCGTACAAGCCCCTTACGCATATCTGTATGTCAGTATTATAACTTCCACTTTTGTACATCATCTTAAATTACGCGGAAGATAGATATCCCGTTGTAATGCCAGTTAAGGTTTAGCGTGGTTTGGAAATAGGTTTCAGAAGATGAATGAAGTTTAAACATTTGCGCCGTTTTTGCAAGTAGCTGTAGGTAAACCCTCTCAAAAACTCTTAAAATAATTATACAGCACCTTAGGCTTCTATTTTTTACTTTTTTTTCTTTTCGCTAATAGTTATGACTAGCAACATATCCGTCTCAGCCAGTTGATGGGACCTTGGGAGGTCGGTCATCTTGAGAACCTGGGGTTGTTGCTTGGGTGCTGTTGATACACATCACCTCCTCTGTTTGCTTTTTACATATATACGTATTCTCGAGACTATGATTGGCTTTTGAACCGTGACAGCCTCACAACAACACGTACCAGATGACCCCTCAACTCCCAACCTCGATTTTTAACATGCCCTGAAAGAATTCTATCCTGCATTTCTAATATCTACTGTAGGAAATACTCTTTTTCTCGAGCAAAGACTACGTTATTCCTTCTCGCTAAATTTCACCTCTTTATTGTACATGACATACAGAATGGTCTTCACACGCGATGACTATACGGTCGCATGGATCTGCGCCTTGCCGCTGGAAATGGCGGCCGCAAAGGCCATGCTGGACGAGGCTCACCCTCCACTCCCCCAGCCAGAAACTGACCACAATGTCTATATACTTGGTAGTGTTAGCAGCCACAATGTAGTGGTGGCCCCCTTGCCTTCCGGTGTCTACGGAACCATATCTGCCTCAACTGCGGTATCACACATGGTTTCCACCTATCCGAATATCCGATTTGGGTTGATGGTGGGTATTGGTGGCGGAGTCCCGAGCCAAAGTGCTGATATTCGCCTTGGTGACGTTGTAATCAGCAAGCCAACTGCCACTTCAAGTGGTGTTATCCAATATGACTATGGCAAGACACTTCTAGGTGGACGATTCCAGCACACCGGGTCGCTTAATAGACCGCCGTCGGTGTTGTTGAAGGCTATGTCTCAATGAGAGAGTGATTATATGACAGGGAAAAGGCCAGTTAGTAAGATCTTGATTGATATACAGCACAAATGTGAAGAGATGAGAGAAAGATTTTCGCGACCGAAAGATGACTGGCTATTCCGACCGACATACAATCATAAGGATGGCGGACACAACTGTTCAGCATGTGATCACACCCAGCTAGTGAACCGTCCAGAGCGAATAACTGATGGACCTTATTTCCATTATGGCTTAATCGCTTCCGGTGATCAGGTCATGAAGGATGCCAAGACTCGAGATTCTATTGCTCAGGATCTAGATATACTCTGTTTTGAAATGGAGGCTGCTGGGCTCATGGACGAACTCCCATCACTTGCCATTCGAGGTATCTGTGACTACTGTGATTCCCACAAAAATAAACAGTGGCAAGGATATGCTGCCCTTGCTGCTGCTGCCTACGCGAAGGCTCTTCTATCAATGGTTCCCACTTACTGCAACAAGAAGGAATCATATAAATCAAGGCAACCAGTTTGGATGGTCCCCTTCGGAAGAAACCCGCGATTCGTAGGTCGGGAAGAAGAAATCACCAGAACTGAGGAATTGCTCACGCAACAGGACGGACCTGGCAGAGTTGCTATCTGCGGACTAGGTGGAATTGGGAACACTCAGATTGCACTTGAACTGGCATACCGCATGCGAAAACGAGACCCTGAGTGCTCGATTTTCTGGGTCACGTGTACCAGCTATGAGAGTGTAGAACAAGCCTATATGAGTATCGCCTCAAAGCTAGGAATGGCTGATATAAAGCCGGCAGAGGTAAAACAAAAAATCAAGGCTTGTCTCAGCCAGGAGAGTGCTGGAAAATGGCTTCTCCTTTTTGATAACGCAGATGATATGGAGATGTGGGGCAAGGACAACACTAATAATCCAGTATTGACAGACTTTCTTCCTCAAAGTGAGCAGGGCCATATTCTCTTCACCACACGCAGCCGGAAGGTAGCTGTGAAACTAGTGTCTTCCCATGTAATAATAATCTCTGAGCCGGACACAGAGACTGCTGTCAAAATTTTACAAAAGTCACTGGTTGAAAAAACCTTACTTAATGATCATGATACAACCATTACTCTTCTTGAGCAGCTGGCCTTTCTCCCGTTGGCGATCACCCAGGCGGCAGCGTATATCAATGAAAACAGCATTGGCCTCTCTGACTATATTATACTTTTACAGGAGCAGGAGCCTGATGTGATTGAATTGCTGTGTGAAGACTTTGGGGATGAAAGGCGATACAAAGACACCCAGAATCCTGTTGCGTTAACCTGGCTCATCTCATTTCAGCAAATTCAGCAATCAAATGAACTCGCGGCAGACTATCTGTCATTCATGGCCTGCATCAACCCTCGCGGTATTCCGCAGTCCTTACTTCCCCAGCCAATCTCAACTAAGAAGAGAATTGATGCCATCGGCCTCCTCAAGTCCTTCTCCTTTATTAGTGAGGATAGCGGGGACCGTTCTCTAAATATACACAGACTAGTCCATCTTGCAATTCGGAACTGGATGAGAAAGAGCCAACAGTTTAGCCGGCATATATTGAAAACTGCAGACCGATTGAGCGAAGCTTTCCCGAACCATGACCATACCAATCGGAAGGTGTGGCGGGAATATCTACCGTATGCGTTTTCACTAATAGCAGAGGCTGACTTCCAGAAGGAGCAGGAGATATATATTAATTTAATTATGAATATTGGGAACTGTCTATATAGTGACGGCAGATGGGAGGAGGCAGAAGAGCTGGACCTACAGGCATTGGAGCTCCGTAAGCAAGTGTTGGGGCCAGAGCATCCAGACACTCTGACCAGCATGGCTAATCTGGCATCAACATACCAAAACCAGGGACGATGGAAGGAAGCAGAAGAGCTGGATGTACAGGTGATAGAGCTCCGCAAGCAAGTGCTGGGCCCAGAGCATCCAGACACTCTGACCAGCATGAACAACCTGGCCTATACATGGAAACTACTAGGAAAGGTCCAAGATGCCTTAGCTCTGATGGAAAAGTGTGTAGAGCTCCGCTGCAACTTGTTAGGTCCAGATCACCCACATACCATATCCTCCTCTAACGCTCTCAGAGACTGGGAAAGAGCAATGAATCCCCTACCAAAGAGACTAATAGAGGAAACTTCAGCGGTAACATCTTCTACCTTGCCTTTCCATAGTAATCTTCCCAACCAGATGAAATCAAACTCTGAACCTGTTACAGGCGGCAAAAGCCGGGCATTCAAAAGGTTTTTCGCGAGACCATTCAGAAGAAAATGATCTACGTTAAGCCTTTTACTGCGGCTAGATTAAACATGTACTTGACCTGGTTTATGTATCAACCAGGCCTCCAAATAATTATAATAGCGTGTATCTCTGACACTATTATGTTGGGCGGTTATATAACATAAAAGCTTCTTTTTCGTTATTCAAATAACTTTCCAAATAGGAGAGGCTGGGATGGATGATGCTTATATAATTGACAACGATTTAGCTTGATCATATGACTTATCAATCAGATATAGTCTAGTAGAAATGGCGGGTGGGTCTGCTGACCTAAGAGACGGCTTCCCATGGTTTACTGATACAAACTCGATACATTATTTCTGTGATATTACCGTTCAATACAATACGACCAAAATTTCCGGAATATTATTGTTACTGTTACATTCCTTATATAGACTAGCGTGCTTGGCATTAGGGTTCCAAAACAATCAAAGAGTATAAGGGGATGACACCAGCTTCGACTCCAACTGTATATTTTCACTCCAAATTCAGTGGCAATGTCAATTACACCATCTTTGTTCGAAGTAACAACCTCCATGGAGGCCTTTGCATGTGTAAGTTTAACGGCGGAGCAAACAGATTGTTTATCACCAACCGCCAACTCTGCCTTCGCCTGACCCATTTTGTTGGGCGGAATGACTAACTTGCCGCTCTAGTTCCGCGTTAAGTCGTAGGAGGTGCGAGATGCTATATGCCTGAGTTTCCATGAACTGCCGCTGATCGATGACTGTCTCGGACAAATTCATCAAATTTTGTTTGCTTGTCCGCAGATCGTCCATCAGGGCAGACATGGAAAAATCAGACCCCTGCGTTGTTGATGGACTGCTCACCAGTTGGTCGAAAGCCATCGCCAACTTCGTGATCAGGCCACTTTGATCTCGGCTGAAGTTGGTCGAAATCGCTAGTCTTCTGCGCAAGTCCGCGTTCTCTTTGAGCAAATTTGCATTGGCACTTTGCAAGTCTGTATTCACTCTCTCCAAGCTAGAGAAGCTGGCGATGTGAGGCGACCAGTTGTGGGTAGTCTCCCGGCCCGGAAGGGATTCATATACAGGGTGACCCTGCTTCTATTAGTGTGATCTTAAACAGAACACAGGTACAGCACGATCTGACTTAAAGGTTTGCGTGTTGGGACGACCATAAAGGGAGAGAATTTCGATAAGGTGAGGGAGGTGTAAAGGTGAGGAGAGGCATGCGGGGGCTTTGGGGAAAGAAATGATATCAGATCAAAAGAGTCAAGGGCACAGCAAATACCTGGGCTGTGCTTTCGTGGAGGGCAGACATCACCACTTGGTGCAGCTTCTTTTGTATTTTTACGTGCTCAAGTGATCAAGAAACGATTTGTCGCGCGGTCAATAAATTATGTCGGCCTAATCTGCTTCTAAAAGCTTTGAAGAATAGAGTAGAATTGTGCCGGACACGAAGCCTGTTATATATATGCCAATGACTCCCTGGATTATGACAGATTTGCTGGACGCGGTTTCGATGCGTATAAAGCTATAGGGACAATTGTGAGATTCTGGATAGCCGTTTACAGAGAAATCAAAGTGTATCTGAGGAAGATACCCTTCACGACAGCACTTTCTTCATATAGAAGTATAGACTCAACAAGCAACAGAGCTTTTGCTCATAAATTAATCTGTACTGTACAGCTAAATATTGTACATACAGAAGGATAAATCACTTATCTGAGGGCCATCAGCTACGATGAACGAACATCCTTTCAATTGCTCAACACATTCAGCCTTGGGAACCGTATCGAGCATATACAGCCGAACAACAGACTTGGAGTCTCTAGTCGAAAGTGAACGAGAACAGAACAATTTGAATCACAACCAAACTACCAATAACAATACGTCTTGGGAATCTCCGGAAATTAACCGCGTAGATCACGCGATTCAAATGGCTCAAGGAGCCACGATAGCATTGGAAACTATGCCATCATGGCTTAAGGCAGCAAAGTCACACAAGGTGCAGTCACAGAACGAGCGAAAGGTAGAGCTAGAGCAAGAGCTTCAGAGGCATCAAGAAGAAAACAATTTTTACGGCAGATGCTATGATATCTACCGTGCGTTGCACGAGGAAGTAACAGCTATATCGAGAGAGCTCCTACAGTATAACATAGTACCCGAATATTTCTTACTTGATTCAATTTGGATGTTGAACCAGGCCCTCAGAAAGTCACAGGAGAGCGAGTCAAGGGCTGAAGCCGAGTGGATGAGGTATTGGAATATTCATGATAGCCCTGGGGCGCGCACGACGTGGATCTGATGTTGTTTACTGTTCCAGAAATACTTAGTTGACAGCTGTGTGGTGTTCCATTTCTCGCAGTTGAACAGTTGTTGGTCAAAGTGTGCTAGCATCAAGGGCCCGTCGTTTATGGCAGCCATTGTTGCACTTTCTATAGCTGTTCACTAGAATGATGATACTGATGTATAGAGATGAGTACGTATCTGAGTACAAATTGTACCCTTCTAGAATTTCTTAATGAGATAGTCCTCATGCAGAACAAATACTATTTATGTACCTAGTGCGCTAACTTTTTAGGGCCAAGTGAATCACCAATCTCTCAAGAGTAGTGGGGACAGAGGATGGACGTATCTTCGAAAGTTCAGAAGAGTTATCCTGCTAAGGGAGACCGTACCCAACAAGAACAGATACGCAAGCGTCGACATAATCTATTCAGACGACTAAAAGAATTTAACGACAGATACGAGATAGAAATATGGCTTACAATGCGTATGCCAAGTGGTAGAATATATATATTTGCGACGGACCCTGATGTACCTATACCAAGCGAGGATGAAGTTGTAAGTTTCACATGTAGGTAAACTCTTGTGACGTCACTGATCTTGGCATAGCGAGCACAGAAAGTCCCAGTTGTCCACAAGACATCAGCGGACTATGACTCAAAAAATGACCTTTCGCTATGTCTTCAGAGCCCTCCGGATCTTCCTTTTACGAATACCCCAGCTTGTTTGGCACACGACGATAGTACGAAATGACGAGAAAACCGTCAATCATTTTGTGTCAGCGATAAAGATAAGAGAGGAGAATCAGCAAATAGTGTTCATCTTGAAAAAGCCGATGTGGTGGATACACAACAATAAGTATCTTGTAAGGTTTAGATAGAAGATCAATTCAGAATATGTGTGTATAGTCTCCTGAGTGCGACTTTGACGTAAGTTTACTGTATTGTGTTAAATGGGCACCTAAATATTTGTCAGTGCTGTCGCGAAGAAGGTAGTGTACCCAGTAGAGAAGCATAGACAATTCCCAGCATACGCCATCAATCGTTCAAAATGAATGGTAACCAACTAGAGACTGTAGTTTTAGAACTACAGTGGAAAGACGAAAGACATCTGCATGCCATCCATAGGCTAGTCGGTGTTTGGCAGCAAGAGCTGCAAACTGTAGACCGCCAGCTGCATAACGAGATTTTGATTATTGAGCACGATTTTGACGACATTAATGGTATAAGAAATAATCGACAGGTGCTTCGACTTCCATGGTGGAATTATGAGGACCATAAAAACAACGCCTTCGCAGCCGCGGACCCAGTAGGGCCACCAGGACGGGAAACCAGGGCAAATAGGCCACCACTGGCTGTGACAAGGTCTTAAGATCGTTCGCACGAAGTGGTACAGTGTCAATTGACAAACAAGGATGGTTACAGTTGCGGTAGCCTGCATATCGGTTGTCTAAATGAAGGGTCAGGGTAAATGAATGAAACAAACAAACAATAATAGTGTATAACAACTTGCAATCGCTTAGCCCCAGGGAGACATTGACCCCATAAAGGTCCACACTTGTCATAGACTCCAAGGTATCCTATAGACCCTATAGAAGTTATAATACCCTGCGGGTTTTCTTGGCATATGAGAGCGTCGATCATAGGTTACGCCATAGTTAATAGAGGTTGCAAACTTTATCTGCAGCCCTGAGAGTCTCTCATCCTCACGGACGGCCACAGTTGGTTATCCATAGCAAAATCGCCTGGTGATTGTCTCATAATATCGAATTTTGTGATATTGAGTAGAGTCTTTGTCCGTAAGGTGCTGAAATCCCCGCGACGCGCCATATGAGGGAGTTTGACCAACATTGGGTGTGGTCAGAGGGCCGACGTTGGCGTTAAAACGGCTCAGGCTAGCCGTTCGCCTTCGCTGCATCTTCCAGGTACTTAAAAGTCACTCATGATTTATCGACCGCCGATATGGCTTGGGTAATAAAAATATGTAGCTGAGCCATGAGGGCCTAACGAGATAAGGGAATTATACCCTACACCGATCCATGCTCAACAGCAGCAACAACCTCATCTTCAGATCGTGCGCCCTGCTACAGTACACTCATTCAAAGGCATGCATTTCTCATTGCATCTTATTTATAGCCCAGACGGTGTCGTTTTCGCCTGCGTTCCTCTGCCCCGCAGGAGAGCTGTTCGTGTGATTTCATTCGCTTTTTCGTCGGTCGGGCATCTAATTCCGAACGATGAAAGTCAACGATCAAAACTCGACCTTGCTCGGCGTTCCACAACATATTATCCGGCCGAAGGTCCTGGTGTAATACCCCGAGTGAGCGAATCTCTTTCTGCGATCGCGAAATTTCATGTCTGATCGACCCAACATCCTCCAACTTGTTGATGGGTTCACCACCCCAAGCCATAAGTAGCATATGGCGGATCCGGCCAGCCCCTTCGAGGAAGTAGATCATGGCCAGGTCGATTGTGCCGAGAAAGACTGGGACTGCTCGGCCTTGGACTCGCCGAAGTATACGATAAATATCCGCCTCTCGCTTGACCTCGTTCCACCGGTAAGACGTAGTTCCTTTACCGACGACCGTATACCCATACGCGGTGCATGTGATTTTGAAAGGCGCTCCCGATGCCCCACAGCCTCCCATCGGGGTGCAATCGCGGTCGAGGTTTTCATCCAGTTGCTGCTTAAGCTGCCGAACCAGACCCTTGGCGTCGATCAGGTGTTGGTTGCTGGTTCCACCCTGTCGATGGAGCTCGGCATTCGGGCAGTGGTCATCCAGCGTGCCTCCTCGCTGCAAGCCAAGCAGGCATTGCTGGGTACAGAATTGAGCGTTGTGTTGGTATCGGCCGCGTTCATTCTGCTGGCTCCCAGTCTGACGGGCCGAGCGCTGCACCGATGGCGACGATGGAGATGATGTAACCTGGCTGAAGCCACGCTTCCGCCCGCCGGGAGCGGAGTCCGTATCCGAGTCTGGAGAATCCTCACGTTCCATGGTATTCGGCGCGCACTGGGCTCGAGACCGAGTCGGTACTCGACGTTGTTGCGTAGGTTCCACCGGAGAGGACGACGGGAGGTACTCGGAGACCGTCCGTCCGGAACTCACCGAGGGACTATATTCGGAGCTCGGCGGATTTTGTCGTAATTCTCTTTCCGGGATTTGGGAGCGGGTATGATCGAAACTCGTCTTCCAGACCGGCAGCTTCTTTGATGCCTGATTTCGCCACGCCTGGTCGCGGACCGGCGCGCCAAAACTCATCAAGCAGAGACACAATACCCGTGCAATGGCGGTTAATGGCTGTTCAAAGCTCCAGTCGTCATTTGGATCGATCTCCACGTTTGGCTCACAGAGGTGGTAGTATAACGTGCCCGGTTCATCGTAGGGGACCCGTAACAGAACCAAGGCCAACCCGTTCGTCAAATATGAGTACTCGAGTCCTTCCTGAATCATCACATGGTACTCTTGAGTCACAGCGGATCCGGTCAGCCAGGCTGCATTATACGCCAGTTTCGCCGACTCCTCCGTGGGGATAGAATTCGGTCGGACCACCTCTTCCCAAAAGTTCATGTCTTGCAATCCTGCGCGAAGGTTCTCAACGGACAGCTTATGAGGCGGCTTATACTCGACTGTGGTAAGAAGGGTATTTCTCTCACCGTCAATCCGGCGTATACAAAATTGATCTGGTCTAGAACGCCGGTATGTAGTCGGTAGGGATGGGTCAGTCTCGGGTGGATCGAGGGCATTTGCATGATTGTCAAACTTGACTCCATCGCTCAGGCCAAATTCCTCTCGAGCGGCCGGTATCTTGCAGAGCTGTGCGATAATGTCACGAACATGATTTTCCACCCCAAATCGTTCATAGCTTTCCAGGTCTTGTTCGCTGCTTATTGCCCTTTTATTAAATTCTTCCCCAAAGCCTTCTAGCACTATGCGCGATAGGAACAGCTGTGTTGCAGCCTCTCCTGGAGGTGCCAGATAGGCGCAAACAGAGCGGTAAATCTCCTGTTGTCTGGCAGCACAATCTTCCCAATGCTGAAGTCGTAACGGACAATATTTCCCGGTTGGAGGTGGTATTTTCCCAGTCGTGGAGCGAGACGGGGCTTCGGCTCGTAACGACAGCGAGAAAAGGGTGTGGCACAAGCGAAGGAGCTCGAGAAAGGTCGTTGGTCGTGTTCGTTCTCGTCCTTGGTCTCGCTCTTCCTCGGCCTTTCTTTTGTCTTCCTCGGCCTTTCTTTTGTCTTCCTCCGCCCTCAGATAAAGGGCCTTATAATCCGGTGAGCTGCCGCTGGCCATGTGTTCGACATAAGCTATCATGTATGGGTAGCTTCAATCGGGGTTGTTTGGACATGCACCCCAAAAGGGAACGCGATATCACTCAACAAGGCGGTTAGGCTATTCTTCCTTGGAATATAACCTCGTTCAGAATCACTAGTCGTCAAAGCTAGAATAGGGGATAGAATGACAGAGAGACAAAGAATAACAGTATGTGCTATATTAAGTGAATCTGGGTGTAGTAGCATCAGTACATCTGTATAGCGTCCACCTCATTCAAGAGAGTGTTTCGGGTGGAGTAACAAGGTGTAGCTTCCAGCCAAAGGGCCGTTACGCGCCCGTATATCACGTGATGTAAATGCCATGTGGAGCTGTGCATATAGTTAATACTTTTGCTCATTACTAGTACAGATCGGCAATGCCAAGGACTCATCCACTCCCACGTTCGGGTCAATTTGTCGTCTCTAAGGAAGATATGGCAGGATCTCTGGTCGAGTCTTTCGTTGGTGAGGACGGTTGAGGTTCATTGAGGGTAGGTTCTAAGAGTCCTACATTATTTTAGAAAGAATGAGGAAAAAAGAAATTTATTATATATACCATCATCTGTAAAATTTTGGGATATCTTCCGAATAGCAGTACAAACAGTGGCATGCGGATGCACACTTGCCACCTTTCTTGCGACAGCTGTCTTGTCATGTGATGATAATTTCTGGAATGCTGCAAGCGTGGTGGATCTATTGTGTCGCCGCTTGATATGAGACTTTTCTTCCGTTGCAAGGAAATATGCTAGCCATGAATTTAGTCCTCCGACCTCTAAGAAGACATGTGACGTTACTTTTCTATCAGAAGTCCGAGCAGCTAGGAAGTGTTTCTTTAGCCTTCGTGGGGCTCTTTGACGCATTTCGAGCTGTTGCCGAAAAGCTTGATTGGATCTTCAGTTATCGTTTTGTTTGATGCAGAAGTCCCGATACAGGCTGCTGTACATTCCTACTAATGATCCGCTCCGTAAGGCTCTGCGATAATGGCTGGAAGTCCTTGTCCAGCTCCCCGGGCCATTTGGTACGATAAGTAGTAAAGTAAGCTAAAAAGTTTCTTTGCAGTCACCACAAAGTAATGTATAGGTAGTTCCTTCGGCTGCAGCTGAACAGGGATCGGCCAAAACAGATGGGGTTAACGTATTATCTTCGGGTCAGGGAAAGATAGGAGACTACCGTACGAAAGGCGGGCCCCTCCACTTTATCCACGGAGTGGTACAGGTTCAGCCGCTAGTCGTATCAGCCTTGTCTACTGCGGGCAGCAATCGCTTGATTGATGTAGTCGGGTTTACATTTCCCTTGGGTAGCGACTCCTCTTGCGTAGGCAATGCGATATTCTCCTGCGATGGTTTGGTTAGCTTATGGATATTAACAGTCAGTAAAGGCCGCTAAAAAGGCGCCACAGCACAGGTGGGGGGGAAGCGTCTTTGTGCTTATAGGCTAGTCTATCCTATGTTTAGAAAGAAGGCTACTCGATATGTTACCAATGCTGGCTTGTTTAATGTGTCCCACTTCGATATGCCGACGCAGAATTAAAGAATAAGGAAGACATCAATGACCAATCCAATATTTCTAGTAGCTCGCAGAACTTATTCTGGTACTGTGCTACGCCCCAGGCTGATGATCAGAAGAGTCTCTCGTCTGAGAAGGAAAGGGCGGGACGGAACGGAAAAAGGTATCGTGTGGGGCAGATGGTCAGGGCTGAAAGATCTATATGCACGAACTTTTGGGCTACCATTGGACGAATATGTGATTATTATGGTTCATGTAAGAGCCACAGGCTTGTATCCCCATGCAAGAGGCATACCATTGGGGTACGTACTTGTACTCTTACACATTATGTTGCTAGTTTTGCTACAGTCGTTAAGTCACGTGACCACGGCTCTCAGGTACCCACGAACCCGCCAAGAACCCAGGGGGCTGTATATTACAGAAATACCAATTTAATACACACCATATCACATAAAAACATATAATTTGGTATATATTACCCGTATTCAAATACCTTCACGGGTTTTGCGCGTCTTCCAGACATGTTGATCTGGCCCATCAGAAATCACTTGCTACTAGTGGCCCTCGAGCGAACCATCTTGGCACTTTTTTCCTTGCTTCAATGCGGAAAGATACTATTCAATCTCGCTTACCTCCTCTCTAGTCTTTCGACTCTACTCAACGTGCTGCGGTGTTAGAACCCGTTTCGATTTGCCCTACCATGCATTTGGAACTACCTCTCAAGCTTTTGCTTCTTATTGTCGAATACTTGGACTCCAAAGAAGACCTGAACTCCTTTACGAGAGTATCGAAATACATTCGCAACAAGACCAACAATATCTTGTACAAGAAACACGGTGAATTAGCACTTCTGTGGGCCGGTGAGAAGGGAATAGTGGAGACTGCCCAGCTTGCGTTAAGATATTACAACTTCGAAGAGGCAGATGCCAACCGGAAAAGGGAACTGTGCGAAAGAGCTCTTTTGTTGGCTTGTGACGGGGGCCATATTGACCTGGTCAAGATACTGCTCAAGGAAGGGGTTCTCGCCACGTATAAAAATTACGAAGGTATGAGTGGGCTGTCACTAGCTGCTGGAAAAGGACATAACGACATTGTGGAAATGTTGGTCGAGGCAGGAGCGGAGCCAAATTGTGAGGATAGAGAAAACAAATCGCCTCTAATGTTGGCTGCCATTGGGGGTCATCACCATACAGTTAACATATTGCTGGACAGTGGAGCAGCTATTGATAGCCTTTGCTATCACGAGTCCGCTACAGCTCTTATGTTCGCTGCCTATCATGGCCATGAGAATATCGTCAATATCCTCCTTGATAGAGGCGCAAATATTGATAAAACCAATATTTTTTGGAAATACAGCTTTATGGCACGCCATCTGGGGTTGTCAAAAAGGTGTATTCCAAACTCTCGTCCAAAGAGGAGCAAATACTTCCCTTCGGGATACCGCAGGGAAGACGTATTTGGAAAGGGCTGAATACTATAGGGGAATTGATTGGGTAGCTGATAAAAGTGGGGAAGGGAAGAAAAAACACAGGAGGAGAAAGAGGAGAAAACCAATGTCCCCTCGGGATACCGCAGGGAAGACATATTTGGAAAGTGATGAAAATTACAGGGAAATTGATTGGGTAGCTGAAAAAAGTGGGGAAGGGAAAAAAAAGCCCAGGAGGAGACAATCAAGGAGGAGAAAATTAATGCCCTGTTGAACACCTCACGACAAGCGGTCGGCCGTTTCCGGTTTCTAAACATTTCGTGCTATGGACTGTGGTCGGTCTTTTTCATTCTCGTTATGTTTGGCTATTTCGGATTTTTCCCAGTGCGCTGTGGAGTTCAAACAACTTCGACTGCATGAGACCTTGCAATACCGCCGCTCAATGGTCCACTGCTCAAACATATTCGACGGTTCACGATTTTAAATCAAATCCGGAGAAATGAAAGGATCAGAACTGCCTTTTATGATCAGATATCACCATTATTATCGTTGAACAAGACATTGGACAAGGCGCACAGGACCAGAGGATGCTGCTGAACGTATTTTACAGTGTCACAAACGTCGATAGACACTGTCTGTGAAGACACTGCTTTGAGTACTTTGTGCAACTGGTAATAACGCAGTCTTCCAGTAAGATTGATGTTTAATCTTTCCATCTCTACATTTTTTCCCCCTTAGTGATCCTCTGAGTCTGTCTCTTCTAAAATTTGATTGCTCGCTCAGATATTAACTTGTTCAAATGCACAAGTAAGATCTGCGTGCTCATGATACTCTCGTTGGGTGATTCTTCTAGAGGTACTGTGTGATATTGACAAACAGTATGATCGTCACATAGCCAATCACATCGACTGTTAGTCGAATGGGTCCGCCGCACAATGCCTAGTTAGGTCCAGAGTAGCGTATGCGAACAAATGCGAATCTGCACGCACACTCTTTCCGCAAACCGTTGATCATATAAACAATTTGCAAAAAATACTACAGTGCCTTGGAAATCTTCCCTACCTATCAATATTCCCTCTTACCGTATGACAAAGTGTCCCCACTTCTGGAATTTCAAAACCAAAAGAATTTTGGTAGGGAAGGCACTGTATCTGTTGAACAATTCTCGCACACAGTAAAGAGTAGCTTTGTAGCATGATGGCAAGGCAGTTCAGACAACTGACTTGCAACTGTACATTGTAAGCTGTAATATATGCTTGAGTCTGTGCAGTATCTCGATATGAGAATACATATTTATAAAGCAGGTGAGCAGTCAAAGGACATCTAGGAAGACTCGACCTTACAGTACCATTATTCAACATGGCTCTTTTTCCTCGCTTCCATCTGTTTGAGATAGAAGATCAGTCCTGGTGTCCTGAATTTGTGGTAAAATTCATTCAAACATATTTAACTGCACTCTGGAATTTCCGCATTCCCGCCGTGAGACACACTGCCGCCGAGGCTGCTGCAAATATCATCCTTGAGAACCTCCCGAACGCTTCTTTATATACTTTTGTCGACCCCTGTGCCGGAGCGGGGGGTCCTATCCCGGCCATTGAGAAGGCTCTTGGAACTGAATACAGTCATTCGGTGCAATTCATCTTGGCTGATATCAAGCCCCGTGTGGAGGAATGGAAGGCTATTAAGAAAGAGCAGAAAAATATTTCCTTTATCCAGGACTCTGTCGATGCGGCAGAGCTGGGAAAAGTTACATCTGGCAAGGAGTGCCGGATATTTAACATTTCGTTTCATCATTTCAATGATGCTTCCGCCAAAAAGGTTTTGCACAGTGCGATGCAGTTTACAGATGCATATATGTATGTCTTGCAACAAGACATCCAGAAACCCGGACTAACGGTGCTATAGAATTTTCGAGTTCCTCCAAAGAGATCTTACCACGTTCCTGTTCTGGTGTGTGACTACTATTTCTCCACTACCCTTCATGCACGCACTACTCCAGGGATCTCTCTTGCAAATGTGCTTTATGTTTGTGATCTGGGTGGCCCTGGGCATTGATGGTTTTGTGTCAATGCTTCGCACACGAACGCACGAAGAAATCAAGAATCTTACTAGGGCTGCTGAAGGTATTTCTGAAGGATGGGTCTTTAAACACGGCAGGTCACGAATTATTGGACCATGGTATATACATTGGCATTTGGCCTTCAGAACTCTTGACAGAAAGGCAAATAATGGTGAAGAGGCTATGGTTTCGCCCCTTCGAGCTTAAGATGAAGCGATATTATGATTATAGAATATATTTATTGTGCGATGGGAATGGTAAATGTCCGAAGAGCTTGACATTTATTGCCAAGATAGTATAATGTATTGTATAAACTGTGTATTTAGAGACATCTTTAAGCAAGATCAGCAACCAATAACATAAACGAAAGCTATCTACTGTAATATTACTAAAACCGAAAGATAGGTTAAATGGAAAGAATAGGTTTAATATCTACTAAGTTAGAACTGACACAAAAATAGTCTATAATGCAATGGCTTTAGTGCTTTAAGTATGTCAACAAGCTACCGCTAACTCATATTACAGAATGTTTTCATGAGAAAAAAAGCATACAGCGGCAGGAGACTTCGATTCCTGCTGGGCTCTCTTCCCAGAACTTTTTTGAACTCCTACGACGATGGGAACACGTTCAATGTAAACGTAAAAACTCGGAACACATAATAAGATGACGTGGAAGAATAAAATGAAACTAAGCTAAGCAAAGCAGCCTCATATAAATTTCAACGCGTATCACTTCTCGGATGCTGCTAATCCACCAAGTGTTGCTCGGCATGAATCGCAACGAACAGCCCAGGTAAATGAAGGTTTAGTGTTTCCAGGGCAGGGCAGACTACCCTTTTCAACTCTTGAACCCTGAGGTCATAGGACGATACGGCATCCTTCCACCGTGATATTTCCTCCTGTAGCTTCCGACGCTCTGCTTCCCATTCGACTCGAGCGCTTAAGAGATTCTGTTCCTGCTTTTCACACAGTCGTTGGCTATCAGCCAGCACGTCCTGCTTTTCTTTCTCGAGCCTTTGTATCGTAGCTGCGAAGCTGCTACTGGGGACTGAGTTTTGTTTCTCGGTCTGAAATAATTAGCCAACTAAATATAAGAAAAGAGTAGGATATAGTCATATATACCTCAAGGTCCTGGTCATTTTGCAAAGCCTCCGGATGTATTGCTTCTATTAGGTCTGGGGCTTTCAAGGCATGGCAGATCTTTTGAAAATTTCCAACACTGCCACTGCTTAAATTTGATTTGAAGAGGGGCTTTAGGTGATCAGCAACATGCCATCTGTATGGATCTTCGTCACGTGGCTGCAAGCGGATCTTATCAGGTGGAATCTCAAAGCCAAGTCGACTGCCTATATTTTACGTCAGCATCCTGATGAAGGCTATTTAACATATGGTCTCTTGTTCATTCCTGTCGTTAATAATCATGGGGTTTGTGCTTCGAACTATTTTATCCCACCGCTTGAGATCTGGGCTTGCGATGTCGGTATGAGTAACAATGGGTACCTTACTTATATGCTCTGCAAGCGCCCTTCGACATTTATTCCTCCAGAAAGTACGCTTTTGGTTACTAGAGGTGGTCATTGTAACAGCTAGTATCACAGAAGGTAGTTCGTGATTCTTTAGATATTGTGAATACGCCGATTACACACTAGTGTCCATATATATGTAAATTTTGCAGAGAGACACAGGCTATTATGGCTAGTCTAGCGGGAAGATATGTTCTGGAGGTGCTTCAAAGGTGGTTAACTTGATAATCATTGTGTTTTTTTTGCGGCCACCCCAGAATTGAGGAGTATCTCATACTCCAGCCCTATTTCATGAAATAAACCAGAGGGTTTGACATGAATTATGCTTTATTGATACTCCATATGCAGCTACAGAACTTTCACTTGATGCTTTGATACACCGTAGTATCAAAACTAGAGTGCATATTAGAACCCCAGTTGTTTAACAAGGTTATAGAGTGACCTCCAGAAGATGGTCACAATTTTTGTTATCAAATCTACGTGTACAATCACAAGGTGTTAGCCTTCAAACCTCACAGAAAATATCGAATCGTGTGCGGATTATCGATGTTTTTATTTAGCATCTTGTGGGAGATTATATTGGTTGATATTATTATGAACAATTAGCAGCTGTAAAAGGAGAATCACGGGGGTAGTGTTAAAATAATACTATACAGTACAGTAAATTACTATGATAATGTAGCTCTCACGAATAGAGCGCTCGTAAGCGTATTTTCACTATAAGATTCTTTTTATGTTCCTTTTCTTCCAAACCTCGCAGGTCCTATTATGTACCGGAATCCCAATAGTCAAGGCTGTCATGAATGTCACCCTACAGAAGCAGTGCCTTCCACTACAGTTCCCTGCAAGGCAGCGAACAGGCTTCACTCTATCAATTGAAGACTGCTGCATAGCAGCAATAGAACCCTGGAGCACTGAAACCTACAATAACTGACCCTGTAAGGCTGGTTAAGGTGCAGTAAGGGAGACCAATTCTTCCCTAACGTACATAATTATTCCAATAATGAAGAGCATCTAAGCCGAGTTCTTAGAACAGTATACTGAGAAGAGGCGGGGTGCTTGGACTAGACCCAGGCATGAGAGATCTAGATTCACAGCCCTTGGAGGACTTTGCAATTTCTGTTCAGCATAGCCAGAACATGTTTTCTCAATCTATTGAATTTAACCAAGCACTATGATGTCCAAGGTACCTATACATACTGGAAACGTCAATAAGTGTTACAAGAAGTGTCAACCGTCTGTACTCAATCCATTTCTGGTCGAGCCTGGGAATAATTGACTTGAGATATGTAGAGAATTTCCCCTAATATCATTTCAAGGACAAGCTATGCTTTAGGATATAACCATTTCTAGGGAATCTGTTTGAATAGTAATCATACTCGGTCATCAGCACCGTATCAGGATAATTCCCAATGAATCGATCCGGATAGTTCCGGCGGCAGCAAAAGTTACTGTAGTTGTTAAACATGTACTATCAGAATGCTGTACGTAAACCTTTAGCCCATGCCTCCTGACGTTTTATAATTTGGCCAGGTAGTATGCATCTATCGGTGCCATTTAGTCATTGATTTCGTCGGTCCGCTCCAGCCACACAAAGTATCTCTAAATGCGAATCTGCTCTAGTGCCTTGGACAATTCACCTATTTCTGCAAGAATTGAGTCCGCTCGACTTGAATTAGCCGCTGCTTCTACAGAGCATGCTATTACCTCGTTCCCTACCACAGACCAGCGAAAATTGCGAGAGGCGTCGTCATGATGTGGATTGTCAAATGCTAAGAACCGGCTATAGTATGGCAGGCTGCGGATGAAACTCAACACTCCGTAGAGGCGGAGGATGTGAATATTTTCGTCAGCTATACTGAATGACACTTCCATCATGTCTTCCCTGGAGTTGTAGACCCATCGTGCAATGCTGCTAGGTATCAAGATATTACCCTTGGTACAAGGATTACTGAGGAGATCCTCATCAAGCAATGTGTGTCCGAATTCGGTTGCAACACTGGCATATGCGATGTGGAACTTGGATTGGAAGCCGGAGAGTACCGTTATTTCTGGACGGTAGGTTGCACCAGCATTGCAGAAATTAAGATGCGTTCGAGGAAGACCGATGTACGTCTGGATGTCCGAATGTCCATCTATAGGGATTGGCATAAAGTTCGTTCCGCCCCGCATTTCTCCTCGTGTATCTCCATGCAATTCTGTTAAAGCATCTGGGACTTCTTGTCTGAACACCCAGTCACACTCACCACTCCTAATCATACAGCTGAGCACCTGTAGAGGCCTGAGACTATACACAAAGTGCAGATACTCATTGGTCTCGGTTCTTTTACCTGCACTGGGCTCGTTATGAAAGAAAGGGGCCCAATTTTTCTCCACGGGCCTTCTTTCCTCGTTGCGTATTGTCAGTATCGTCGTAATGTTCGAGAATGGTTTATGGATCCACATGGCTCGTGGACTTCCTGCACCATCCGAGATCATGTTAAAGACAATAAGCGGCTCGGCACCTTGGACGCCCTCGTCTAAGATTATTCGAGGGTCCTCTGGACCGAAGAAGCCCCCCTCTTCCCACCACACTGCTGGTATCTCAAATACCATGGGAAAATACATCTTGGTGCCATACCACTCTATTGTATGTTTTTCCAGGTGGTTCCAGTTTTCGTCAAATAATTGTCCCCTTAGGAAGCTAATTGTGGGCCATGAAACACCTGGCCTTGTGTATACCACACGGGAAACAACAAGATAGACATTGTATTCGGGGAGCCACACCCCTGCACCAGCGAATTGGGTCCAGCGATTGGGATTTACCTTGCCAGGCACCGATACCTTATTTTCGTTAAGGCGTACCATGGGATGGGACGCTAAAGCACTAGCTATCTGGGTGATGTTGTCATGCAAGGGGATGCTTCTTTGCGCGCTAATATGACCAGTTTGCCTTATATTCTCGCACCCGAGGTCTTGAATATTGCCATCATTGCAAAATCCCGAAATATCGATATGCTCGAAATATTAGAACTAGGAAAGTTACCCTTCTGTCAGATAAGAATGCTTAGAGGTAACAGGTAATCTTGTTACTCACATCACCGATCAGGAAAGAAAGGTACTTTCCCAAAAACCATAATACAATGCTAGCAGTCACAACCACTACTAGTCTGTGTTTCCAACCTAGGTGAAGCTGGAAGCTGTTAAGTAACATCTTGGGTAAGAAGACATTAGGAATGTGTAGTGCAGCTTGACTTACCTAGAAATCTTTCTATGGCCAAGTACAGGGCCTATTATATAAATGAAAGATAAGAGAGGAGAATAAAGAGACAATTTTGCTTCTTACATGTGCTCCCGTATCACTTTGAATCAGAAGCATACTTCCCGAGGCGGTAGTTTGCATATTGCCTTTCTAATCAACGCTGGTTCATTATGCGATTTTTGCTACCACTCTTGTTTGTCACGCGCTTTGAGGCTTAGCTCGTGGTGAGAGCTATCATAAATGGGTATCTAGGGTGCATTGAGCCGAAGCCCAGCACTGTGTGTTGTTGAGCAGCGTGCAACCCTCGTAATACTTCTTGAAAATCACAAATTAATAAATACAGTATATCGTGGAGGGTCCTTGCACCAGCTGAATGGTAAACAGTTTCTGGTTGACAAACGCTTTGGCTGGTGGTTTTCTGGTCATCTCAGCCAGTGTTCGTTATTGTTATCGCATTTCTGTAGATTACAGAGAGCTCTCAGATGCACGACGCCGTTTAGATGCTTCTTCAACGTCTTCACTAGAACTGTATGGTACAGTAGCCCTCCCAGCGAATAGATATTCTTGTAGAAGCCACGACGCTATGGAGAGGGAGGGAAATTATGACTTTGGTGAGTTTAGTTGACTGTTTTATTTCTTTTTCTCTTTCTAGCCTTCTCCCTGAACAAGGGGAATTCACTCTACATTCTCCATCTTTACTTCTCCATTTCTCCTCTTTGTGACAATAACATGTCAGGCTTGGTACAGTTTCCTGCGGGCGTGCAACAGTGAGATTTAAATGGTTTGATGTGGTGTACACCGGCGAACTCAGATCTGGACCGATGAAGGAAATATGTACGGGCGTTCATACACAAATTCAAAACCAGCGCCCGGGTCTTGTATCCTCTTAATTGTTTCCCAACCCTACGCCAAGAATAGACTAACCTCTTTTTGAGATACTCCGAACCCTTGATGAGATACTGTATGGTATTCAAATCACTCATTACAGTAATAATACTATATTACATGTTTCGCCAAAACAAATCGCTTTTGTTTCTTAATACTCCACCTATATCCCCACCTATACCTTACTAGTCCGTATTAGTTTATCTCTCAGCCAGCACTTAGTTAACTAACTAGTTAACCGCTTAGTAAGCTTCAAACCACCTCGATGTCAGACTTTCTCCTGTATCCACATCTCAAAGAGACTAACCAGACACGGTGGCTGATCTGCGGAGCAACTCCTTCCTATTTGGGATTGAATATATACCCATTATCCTCTGAATTCTCTCTGCTTATTCGCTCATAACGAATTCTATCGAATATTCTAGAGTATGTCGCGAGAAGAGTGTGCTCCAGCCTTGCCTCCTCTTAAGCCACGCCCTGAATACGTACAGCAAAGCGAAGAGAAGGACGTTGAGCCGTTCAGTGTGAGACGAATTCGATCGTCTGCCGCGTGCACCGAGTGTCGCAGGCGGCGAATAAAGGTGGCTTTTGTTTTATCTATAAGTTCGCTGAACAATGATAGCAAATAGTTCTGACATCCTGCTCTTCCCAGTGCAACGGTTATACGCCATGCGAACAGTGTACCCTTAATAACCGTGAATGTGTCATTAATCTGCTACATGACAAGCGTAAGAAGATATATCTCAGGGAATTGGAGCAAGAGCTTCAATATCACCGCACATTTTTCCATCAACTGTATCAAGTTATCTGTGAGTGTGATGATGCAGATGTAAACCAGCTTGTCAGCCTGATCCGAGATGGAGGAACAAAAGAGGATATCAAAAATACTATCGAAGGGTATCTACAACACGATATCCAACGTCCTATATGTGGGGAATCTAGTGGAAAGGACGAATGAGGCTCTACTTGCAGTACTTTTATGGAGCTGCTTTTCCACATCTGATTTGGACACATCGATGGATGTTGGCTGTTACATGTCTGCTTTTAGTGCCGTATTGACAAAGAAAAATTTAATTACTTACATTAAAATAGTATTATTTGGATGTAGGAGTGAGGTACAGAAGGAACTCATAGGAAGATATCTGCTCACTAGCTATGTCAAGGCCTGATAATCAACATAAAGGCTTCCCAATGAGAGACATGGCCATGAGATTTTAGTACTTTAGAACTTGTATCTAGCAATATATCATCCTACCCACGGGAGGTGATACGTTTCCACTGAAAAGAACTATCCATAGCGTAAATCAAGTGCAATTACAAGATTCCGTATGCAAAATCGTGGTAAGTAGCTTCCTTTCACACTATTTATTTGTGCTCTGGATCGTCGCAAAAACCTCTTCTTGAGATGCGCCAGATCGTATGAGACTAATCACTCGATCTATTGCCGGTTGATCCTCACTTTGTAATAAGTCCAGTAGTTGATTCAGAAATCCTCTGTAATAATCCACATTCTCCGCAGTGCTAGCAGGGCTATGAGGGTTTGTAGTTGGTCTTCCCTGCCAGTTGTCATGGGCGCTAAATTCGTAGATTCGGTCACCATTACTGCAAAGTGTGTATGTTAGTCAACCTATGAATCCACAGAATATTGGCATAAATTTTGGATGGGATCTGTTTTACCTTCGTGAGCTCTGGTAGCTTTCTTGGATCATTTTTGCTCAAGGGGCTGTTACTTTTATGTGTGATCTGGAAAGGCTATTTGGTATCCCACAAACTGGTAGACTTGGTAAGAAGTGAAATAAAATACATAAAATGATAATGAGTTAAGAGGCATCTTTACTCTTTATATACAATAATAGTTGGTTAGACATTCTGTGCTTCGGTGGATGAAGGTGAACGAACCTTGGGTCTTCAAATAGTTCTCGGCCGGAATAACAAACCTGCGATCCAATATTTCACTTTTCTGTAAAAAAAAAAAAAAAAAAAAAATAAAGTGACAGTGTATGTACGCTTCTGCGCCCTTTGTCTGTATTCTTTTTTCTGTTGTTTTCTCTTTTCTCTTTTCTCTTGGGTTATTTCTTCTCAGCAGATTAATTTTGCGATAATCAAAGCTACTCCATGGTTAACCTTATGCACTGTTAATTTGAGAGCCATACACATCTGATGGACATTGACGTTAGTGACAATCCAAGAACGACGGGTAGGTACTTTAGCTCCATAGGAGCTATTGTGACTGAATGTACGTGCCACATTCTCAATACGTCTATTTTGATAGATTACTCCGACTAATCTATCCATATTGTTCGAAAAAGCTTCAGGCATGACACGTGACCTTCCATATTTAACTCAGAGGAGTGCAATGTTCCATGGATGGAAAGGCAATGATGACATGATGATTCGATTGAGATCTAATCCTTGGGGCTGACTACATCATTTCACTTTGGTGACAAGTGAATTATAAGTACAATACTAATTGGTATCATTCTTTATTCCTCACGATTGACAACAACCGTATACGTTACATACCATCATCATGGAAGCAGGACAGGATAAGAAATACCATTCCCAGGTAAGATATTATTCCATCATCATTGAGGCACAGAACACTGAGCTGACGAATTCCTAGACTCTCTCCGGAGATGAGAAACGCCGCGTCCGCCTCTTTGGAAGACTACGTCATGGTGGATTGCTCAGACAACAGTCCAGGATATGTTTGTGATAATCAAAACAGAGCAGCTACTTACGAACAAAAGGAACGGAGGTATTCTGACTCGGGTGATTTGGCTCTGTCTGCAGCCGAGAAAACGACTGATGACGGTCCAATTCAAACTGGCACAGCCCACCCTATACGTGACAGTATTTCGCGTCCTTATGCCCCGGTTCCCAATACTAGTAATGCCAACAAAGATGCCAACAGGGACGTTAGTGGCGAGAGTCAAGTTCAAGAAATGATAGATAGCCATCTACACCGGTAAATTAACAGTGTGAATAAGATGCAGAAACCAAAAGGAACTATTTAGGATAGATAACTTTTCTGGCAATGCTTTTCAGTCTATCGATGAGAATCTCATGCGATACCCATGACAAATTGGTAGAAGGAAACCACAAGTTTAGCTACAGCAATTTAGCGAGCTGTACCTTAATAACGATTTCTGCTGCCTTATTATTTCTACGGATTCAATCACGTCAAGCTTATTATCACATGGATGCACTTTTCCGCCTAGGACAATGATGCATGTTGCATTGCAGAGTCCACTAATATGCACTCAATTTTTGGGCTAGCGTCTTGGCAACTCGGCCCTGAGTAAATGGAAGAGTACAAATCGGTAAAGCTGGTTTTGATTATGGCTGTAGGCAAGCTCGCTGTAAATGGATTTACCACGTAATCCTCTAAATACTCGGTTGAGCGGTAGTGTTTACTTTCCATTACGGGGTTGGGATCCACCATGAAAATCAGCCATGTACAAAACTAGAATAAGGTTTCTTATCAGCGATGAGATAGCTGTCATACAAGGTCTGTACATGTACCATAGCTAGGGATGGTATGTTACAAGTATATACAATACAGTATACTTGGTAGGAATATAGTTGTTCCGCTACCTATTCACATGTAGTTTAGTGGTTCTTGGTAATAGGGTTGGGGAAACAATCAAAGATACAAGACCTTGTGCGCCGGTTTTGAATTTTAGTGTAAGGTCAAAGTTATGACATTCTCATCAATTCAATAAACAATTCCATATGCTTTTCGTCAACCCAACACTGCACAAGAAACTGAGTCTTTCTACCACTGGCTATGTCAACTTTTCGTTCGCCAAGAATAGTTATACCGTCAGTCTCTTCGCTAACAACCTAGAGTAAACACCATAAATATGCTTTTCACTATAGTAGCCCAGAGAGCGCTCACCGAATTTGCAGTGTCTCCCTCAAATGAGTCATCTGAGTCTAAAAGCTCATAGTTGGCGTATTTATTTTCCCAAGCTGGACTATTTGGCCCCTGGTTGCCGAGGAAGTTCTCATCATTGAATCCGGGCTCCGAGTAGTCGGACTCGAATTCCCATTCCGTTTGTCCGAGTATCTCATGGTTGATTGTCTCTCCTATGCTATTCAGATGTATATCGGTATTCCAAGGAGATTGGTGATCCATGATAAACTCTTCCGCTTTTAGAATTATTTTCGTCGATTGTAATACAATTTATGATCAAGGCAGGGCAGGTCTTGCTTATACATATATATAAGGCCAAGGCTCCTTTCCCAAATTTCGTTGGTGATACTAAAATTGAGGCTCAGGTATAAACTGCTGAGATTCGTGGTTGTGAAGGGCAGGAAAGTTTGGTGTATATCAACTAATGCCAGAGGTATATGGTGTTTCTGATTTAATCCTACTATTTCGAAGGGGCCAAGAATTGCTTGGGAATCTTGGGCATCTTCGCATGATCTGTGAGTAGGGGCCAATTTACTTTTCCTAAACCAAGAATCTGCGTCTGGCGAACTTTGGGGTTTCAAATTACTATCAATAATTGATCCTGCTGAGGATGTAGAGCAGCCCTTCTTGAGTGGCTAGATACCTCCTTCATGACTTTCATTTCCCTGTATGAAATAGTGAATCCAGGGTTTCCATTTAAGCAACATTTTGAGAAGGGCAGGCTGACTTCTCAGGTCACTGAATCGAGCTCAAGAAGAGATCGACTTCTTGAGGGGTCTTCAATCGCTGTCTTCTATGCCTCAAGATCTTACGCCCTACTAGGTAGCAGTATGTGTAACTAGTACTGTACAGTACGTTGCTTCATAGAGGTAATTCATCGGGACGATTTTTCTTTTTTTCTTTTTTTTTTTTAATTTTCGAAGAACATATGATGCCTCCCTTCCGCATAGCCCGCGGGCGGTTGACCCTCATTATCAACCAATTTTGAAGCTCCCCAAAAAAAATCTCAACCATCTCTCTGGATCCTTTCTCAATCGCAAGATATAAGGCTCTTATCCTATGGAATTCCTCCTCGAGAGTAGTGTTTTGTTATCTTTATAATGCATGTATATCTCGTTCGAACTGCCGTACAGAGTGCTTCAGATGCATCACAAGGCACTTGCTCCTGCGAAATATTCTAATTTTGTTCATACATATAATGGAATGGAAACAAGACCCTTTGATTTATCGAGAGGCTCTTCTATATATCATACATAGCTTTCCCAATCCATATATTGATTAAATTCGTGCCGCCTCGTTGGCTATTGTTGCACATGTGGTTGAAGCCTTCTAGAGGACCGCGTTCAAGTCATCCATCAGGCTGTCAAGAATCTCTATATACTTTTGCTCGTTCATCAAGCTCCTCGGTCAGTTCCTTGCACCTGTGAAGGATCCAGACCGATTATTGAATCACATCCTGTCTTTCATTCAAAGTCAAAAGTTCACCGGCCTCGTTCACGCAAGATTTAAAAGTTTCGCGGAACTCCGGGTCATTATTAACTGCCCAGAAGGACAAAGGAGGTGGAAAGGATTGAATTTCATCATCCGTGGTTAGACCCCAAAATTCGGGTCCAGCTTTGAGTATCACTTGGCGAATAAATCGGCCGCCGTTAAACAAAGCCGAGTAGAGTACCCAGACGTACGCGAGCAGTTTGTGCGGGTTCTCATTTATGCGGCGTTTGATGACGTCTTTTATGTGCATGTCGTGCGACTCATTGGTAGTCAGATTGGTTATGGTGGGGTAAGAGGAGTGTAGTCTCCTAAGATCTTCTATAAGCCGCTCGGTCCGATAAAGGTCGACCATGCTAAGAAGCTTTGAGAGATCTGAGATTTTCTTTTCGTAAGTGGGACTAGCTGAGCTGCAGGGATACTTGGCAATCCAGTCCCTAAGGTCTTCCCATGCTTCTTCGAAGCCGAGGTACATCTCCGCATTAATAGGAGAAGCCAAGCGTATAGAGACCGAGGGACCTCTTCTCTCCGCTTAAGCATTGGAGTACACGGGCAGAATTCATCCTGTTAACCTCCATATGCGGCACTCTATTTCACTCAGTTACCGGTTCTTTCGTTCACATATTAATCAAGTACTCACAGAATGGCCGCTTTGATCATTGCAGTGATTCCAGTCATTGTGAAAGGTGATTTTCAATTGGATACACTCGTACTCTCTAGAAAAGGAATATTTCTAGAAGGTAAATCGTGGTCGGTATCAATCAAGGCCGGCACTAAGAAAAGTGCTGGGGAGGCTTAAGTCTGCGTTTCAAGCATTTATACTAAGACCGAGTCTTCTAAGACATCATATGCAGAAAGCTTGGTGAAATACCTAAGAGCCAGGGGCAAGTTAAGGTACTAGAGAAGACAATATTGATTTGTTGAACATGTTCACTGTCTTCTGTACCAGGTTTGCAATCATGCTGTAAAATATAGTCCCTTAATCATGTCTTACGAGAATTCATTTTGTTGAAAGGAATCGTATACCCCTAGGAAGGCGAATCCCTTAGAAGTAAAAACCTATGCCATTTTTTGGGAGAATGAACACAACCAAATAAGCACCTTAAGGTAGAAATGGTGATCATTCTACGTTTGGTTGAATATGTTGAACGTTCTTAGATTTTTCGACCCTTTTTTTTAAGTGGCTCTCGTCCCCACTTCGCTCGAACCCCACCGGGCGGTGGTACACAAAACAAAATTGACTCTGCAAAATAGGAAACGGATAATAGCCCAAGAACTGTAAAGGTTAGAGCGAGGACGACAACGTTGTGCTGGAAGGTGCTTAACTACCTAGGTCCAATAGTCTATTACTACATTCATTGATCCCGCGATTTGAACAATCCTACTGCGGAAATTGGGCGTCGAGGTTATCTGTGGGCGTGTGATCAACACATCCTATAAGTATTATTACACAACCTGACAACAAAAAAAAAGAAAAAAAAACCGAAAAATGGCATCTTCTACTGATCCGGAGAGCATTGGCCCAGACCTACTGGGACGCCGTCTGTTATTCTCATTCTCAGGTAAGTGGGCCCAAAACCGCTTACTGAAGAGCTCTACAGCCGAATACATGGCGTCTTTCTCTGCTTCTGATTCTGGCTCTCGTGGAATCCCTTCTGCTGACCTCGTCAACTTATACTGTACCGACGCTGGGGCGAGGGTGACATTGGAGTTATCATTACTGGTAATATTATGATCGATCCTCAGCATCTCGTGTCAGCCGGAGATCCTATCATACCTATAGATGCACCGTTTGAGGGTTTGCGATTTGAGAGATTCAGTAAAATCGCATTGGAAACAAAACGTCATGGCTCCCTCGTTATTGCTCAACTATGCCACCCCGGTCGTCAGACCCCGGTATACCTGCAACCATTTCCAATTAGTGCGAGCGACATTGGGGTGAGCGGAGGGAGTTTTGGGGCTGATTTTGGTAAGCCCCGGGAAGCAAAAAGGGAGGACATCAACTATATTGTGGAGGGTTTTGCTCATGCCGCCGCATATGCTGAAAGGGCTGGGTTCGACGGTATCCAGTTGCAAGCAGCTCATGGGCACCTGCTAAGCCAATTCCTGTCGCCCCGAACAAACAAACGTCAAGATAATTACGGGGGCAGCATAAAGAACAGAATGAAGCTGATATCCGAGATTCGAAAGGCAATATCCGAACTAGTGGCAGAAACCTTTATCGTTGGTATTAAGATTAACGCTGTTGAATTCCAGGAGAGCGCGTTTAACTTGGAAGAGACCGTTCAACTGTGCATTGAACTTGAGAAAATGCGTTTCGATTTTGTTGAATTGTCCGGCGGCACTTATGAGGATTGGACAATCGGTCGCAAGCAGGTCACTTCTATACCACAGCATGAGGGGGTAAGTTAACAGGAGGAAACATGACAACTTCGATGGGCAATCTAGTGACACTGGCCTGCAATTCTTCTTAGAGTACGGGAGAATCTATTCGGAGAGGATGGAGCGGACAAAGGTTTACGTAACTGGAGGATATCGCTCTGTCAAAGGTATGATACGCGCCGTGCAGGAGGTAGATGGCATAGGCCTAGCACGGCCCCTATGCCAAGAACCTCATTTATGTTCGCATATTTTGTCTGGAAGTGTCGAAACAGCCCCTCCGATCAAGATTGACACGAATAACTTCCATCTTAGTTCTGTTGCAGCGCTTATGCAGATGCAGCACCTGGGGAAAGGCTTGCAACCTGTCGACTTGGGTTCTGAACGAGATACAAGCAGATTATACAAGGCAATACTGGATCATGAAAGGACCAGGTACAGTGCAGCTGCTCCAATGGACTTTTTGTGATACTTCTACAGAACTTCCTCAAGAAATGTATGTATGACTACTCTTTCAAGCTTCCTTCTATGGATGCTTAGATGCCGTAACGCACTTATCTGTAGCTTTTGAACCTTGCTAGGACCAGCTAATAGCAGGCTAATAAGCATGCCCTAAACCTCGCCAAGCGCGAGTTTTGGTTTCAAGGAACGCTTACCCGCCCATAGGTTCTTGCCAGGTATTCGTGATCGTGCCCCTCTAACCTACTTCGACGCAAACTTTATACAATTCGAATGCTATAGTTTGATTAGTCAGATATAATTAGCAGTCCCTTTCTTTCGTCGCATACTGCACTACTATATGTCAACAGTCATACTCCCACTGTTGCCTCTACTGTTTTATATTTTTCTTGACCTTTTCAACTAAGTACTCGTAGAATGGCTGTTTTCCCTTACTACAGATTGAAAACAGGAAACAGATGCTCTTCTGTTGTTTCTATGTCATTCACCACACGGGTTTGAGCCTGGGTGGGTCTGGGGTTCTCACAGTTTGACTGACAAGGCATCATTAAATCACTTTGCGCAGCAAAATTCATTCACTTCTTTTGAATTCGCCTCGGTATAGGAACCCAGCTGTTGATGGTTATGAAACTCATCCCAAAGCCACTGCTACAAATTTTATGGAATGAATTAGTGATCTGACGGCTTAGGATTTGTAGAAAGCATGAAAGGGAGGGCTAGATATGCTAATATCGCAGCTCGCTGTAATATAAGCTCTATGATCCAATAAACCCACAACTGGGTACACTCTCTAGATTGCAAAAATGTTTCCTTGTGGATGTAGTGATTGCGACATACGGTAATGCTTAATTTACTGTATACTGTAACATTTATTGACAGGTAAAACTTGTAGTGAGTGTACACTTGCTGGTTTCTTTTTGGCCAATGCCAACAGCTGAATCATATTTCGTGGATTAATGTTGAACATCTGAGAAATTAAGGTGGATGGCCAAATCATTGGTTCAGGCAGATGATACTAGTGTTATGCTCGCTCTAGAAAAATGGCTGGTGGGGCCCATAGTTCAAGAATGACTTGTTTTGCATGGGACATGTAGAGTTACCTTGGATACAGGTGGAGGTCGCCACCACGGCTCAGTTGTTCACGACATCTCATATATTGGCTAATTTAGAAGTCTTCATAGTACAATCGTTCAATCCCACTAAACGAAGTTTGTAGACAAGCTTCTATTCGTCGATTTCTACTATGGCTCATATGATTGAAATTGATATCACTATTACTGAGATGGGGTGTGAAAGGATCGTGTTGATCTTTGTGGAGCGCTTTATTCAAAGATCGCAAGTGGAACCACTAGAACTACTGTGGCATGGGCGGTCCCAATATATCATGTATAGAGCAGGCAAGGTACATAGAAGGGAACGATATACAGAGGCATACACGGGAACCAATACGATCTTTTCGCACCCCACCATACGTGGTACGCTGGAGATGGACGAGCTTCATAAACGACGCAGCCATAAATAGCCGATTATCCCTCAAATGAGTTTCATACCCACAGGCTCATAAGCTACTACTGCCCTGCTCTTCATTCGGGGAAATTCCTTCACCAGCCGCAACTCATTTGCTTCCGACGTCAAGTGCCCATATGACTGGTATGTTCTCGAGTTCCACTTGGTTTTCCTATGTAGATATCTGGTCTGTACTGTAATTCCAGGCTTTTACCACAAAACGCTGAAATGTATTCTCTATTCACATGACCTATGATGATGACTATACCTACGTCACCTGAATATATGTTGCGGCACGGTAAGCAACGTGGTTACTGGTTTAAGGATTCCGCCAACCCGACAGTGGAAGAAATCCCCAGCACGACGGAAAAGGTTTTTAGCAAGTATATAATTGCACACCAGTACCCAACAGGACTCAGTATATGGCAAATATCAAGTTTTTCTTCTTCCGAATATCTCCTAAGGATAATTCCGAGAGCATTAAAGCTCCACATCGGATATTAGAAGACCCTTGAGAAGACTCGAGGTGCTATGGAGATATTGGAAGCATTACTTAAACACCACTTGATTGGACGGGGACAACTTATAAAGCGACCACGAGGGCATTGTGACGAATTTCATCAGTTTCGAGATACGGGAACACGCTTGTGGACCATAGCATGCACCCTAGGCCCCGGGACTCTCTTTTGTGAATCAGCAATGAACACAGCATTGTATGTTCTAACCCCACATCACATTTTCACACACACCGTACACCCAAGATAGGGCTTGCACCTGAGGTATAGATGTCTTCACTGAGATACTCAGGTCAGTCCTCGGGGAAATGAATCCAGAAGTGATTGCTGTCTGCCACAGCCTGGATGATGCGAGCTCATAGCCGCTGTAGTAGCTGGGGGATAACTGGACATAATATTTCAAATTGCCCTAGTAAATAGCTATTTTTGTTTATATATTTAGTTAAATTCACTGGTGTTAGTGGACCGTGGTTGATAAGCTCCAAAGTACCCGAGATGTAATGAACCTCTCCCGGCTCGACCGTGCAATAATTGGACGTTAGTTGTGGCGGCCCAAAAGCCGCCACCGTATTTATAGTAAGAACTCTCTAATTTTGAGTCATGATGAAAGTGGCGTATAACCGCCATATTCAATCACAGAGCTGGTTATTACCCTGGCATTACCATCCTTCAGGTAGGAGCCAATTCCAAGACAGAAGTTGCAGTTCATTCCACTAACCTAGCAGCGATACTCAAGACTATTATCCTAGTAAACGAGAGAAAGCTCCATTCCAATTGCGTTTCGAGTGCGATAGACGTCACATACATACTAGTCGCAGAAACAATATCGTCCTCCCCAAGTTCACATACACAAACCCTTTTTTTTTTCCCTTTTTGCAAGGTTTGATGTTATCTCTCCTCTATAGGGTTCCTTCACTTCGCCTCCTAGCCTTCGCCATTGACCTTTAAGGACTCAGTTCCTTTCTCTCAGGGGGACTACAACTTCCATCGATAAACGAGAGCACGAACTTACACTTGCTAATTAACAGGCACAGGTGGGCTGACCGCACCTGCTAATGTCCTGATCACAAGCAGGTTGGCCCACACTGCAAATTGGGGCTGGTGCTTGTCCTGGGCAGCTTGATTCGCAATCGCATGGCTCACCACAGCCCACCGTTTTGGTAAATGGCTGGCCCGCAGGGCAATTAAAGTGATTGTTTGGCGGATTCGGACAACCGGGATTGTTGCTTGCCACTGCGAGGGTGAAAGTACAATGGCAAGTGCACTCCTTCGAACATGTTTCTACCTCGGTAGAGGTACACGCAGCAGATGCCGTGGAAGCTGCTGCCAGGACGACAAGGATGGTCTTCAAATGCATCTTTTTTAAATGTTGTGGTTATAACGGAAGCCTGTGAAGTGTAAGTCGAGCTTTACGACGAAGACTTAATGATCTCAACGTCTTTGTGTACAGGGTACAAGAAGGCTACCTGAGACAGGATCCTTCAGTGTTTTTATACCTGAAGGTATGCTTGCAGAAACGTTGCATATCGTGTGGCAACCTTATGCAAAACGTCTTTACCGCAAGCGATGTTCACGCCAAGGATCCCTCTGGAAGAGTAAAACTAGAACAGTCAAGGCCGGTCTAGCCCTTTGACGTCTGTCATGTCATGCCACTAAGAGGTTAAGCTTCAGAAGGATAGGTTAGCCACCAGGAATAAAATGATGCTGTTGTGACGGATGATGAAAGATCGTATATGCGATTGTATTTCTAGCCAGAGCTCTCGACTTAGTCCATTGCAGGAGTGGCGCAAAATATGAAAGGACGACTATAGCATTGAAAAGAGAATCAGAGGAGGATCTGAGGGGAATGAAAACTATGACTTAATCAACCAAGGTTCGAATAAGCTTTAAATTTGCGTTTCTATCTGTCTTGTGATTTGGAGTTGTACCAAAGTTCTTAAGGCTAATGAGGGTTTAGAATATATGGCGGACTTCTGATCCGCCTCGAAATGACTTTCCCCACTTTAGCACTCGTCGCCGATCCAAATCTCACCAGAAGCTTAATAGCCTGTGAACAAACTATCGAATGTAGAGAGAGAGTCACTGATTGTCGCGCGTTTACAATATGGTAACGCCATCTTGAAAACACTACCTCCACAACAAAAAGTTTGTATAGCATGACTATCTCCAAAGCGCCAAGTTGCTGCCTGTGTGGTAGACGGATATGGAGTCCTCGGTTTTTTACTTTATCAATTCGTAGAGATCCAAATAGGTATGGCACACATAGATGAAGTAGTCCTAATCATGAACTTTTTTAGTCTCCATACCTAGTTGCCACTATCAGGCTACTACCTTACTTTGTTTGTAGGTGATTAATATACTGCTTAAATGCAATATAACAAGGGAGCCTAGGAAGGTCTAATTGCAGTGTTAGTGGTATGGAGAACTTAGCATATCGGAAAGCTGGGCTTAGATGCTGAGATAAGGGGTGTTCTTAAAATTTACAAGATATATGCAATTAGCTTTAGTATTGAGCAGGGACCTCAGCGCGTCCATGCCGAATTCCGCAGACGTTCAAATTGGAATCGAGGTAGATTTAGAGAGGTAGACAGAATTTGTACACTACTAAAGGTGTTGTCATAGCTGTAATGCCGATGCAATCTCAGTATCATTAACATCTATCTATCTATCAGAGCCGATGGTAGAAGCTTAGCTCGCCTTTTTTAACTGGATATAGTCATCCTCTTCTACGTGGAATCCGCACCACTACAGGCGCAGGTGCGTCTAATTCTGGCATACGCAATCCAAGAAAGCTTTAGTGCCGGTTCACTCACGGGATCAGATAGAGATTGCTTAATTCGGACACTGAGTTGAAGTTTTTGTTCACACCTTTTGTACTCGTTTGTTATTAAGTATATTGAGATATGAATCTCCAGCTTCAATTAAGCTGATTCATATTTGTTCACACACTCAACCATTACTTCGTATCGCATTCACTGACAGGACCATGGTCTTTCAACTCCATACAGATATAAACACGAGTTCTAAGAGGAGGCAGGGTTTCTCAGTAGCAAACAGATGTAAAGCGCGAGCAGCTGGCTGGCCCCAGTCACAGCAAACATCACAACTACCCACACGAACAGCTCCAATACCGTAATCGCCATGACTGAGGTGAACACAAGAGTGCTCGCAGTGTAATAAATAGCCCACGTTAGCTGGACCGGCCAGGCTTCATCCACTCTCTGCACGGCCATCTCTCTGCGCCGCTCTCCCCGATTTCTCTTCCCGCCAGCTGACAAACAGGCTATGGACCGCACCCGGGATAATACCCACCAGACACTACGTCAGACCAAACATCGGATACGGACATCCGAGGGCACTGCGTTTAGAGTATACTTCCACCAGTGCCAACGCGGCATAGCCGACGAAGAGGGCCACAACGATAACAGTCACAAATAGAGCTTTCGTGATGTTTTATTTCGCCTTGATATTAGTGAGCCACCCCGTGTGCATCCATGACAGCCAATGCCAGATGCGCTCCTCTTCCACATTTGTCGCAAGGGTGGGCTCCAAGCCCAGTGCCCTAACAGCCGTGGCAGCGATGAATGGCAGCGGGGCAGATACCAGTACAGTACGCAGCTCGGGGCCAGGCAATATTGCATAGTGTTAGTGGCACCAAGCCCATCACAAGGGCGGTTGCTCCGTATTGCTGTTTGCGCGCCCCGTCGGCTTCCACAAAGTTGCAGATAGAGAAGCCCCAGCATGCCTGTGCAGAGTCAGCTGGATAACGAAAGTATGGAACGAAGGGGGAATACACCAGCCCCGAGGGACAGCCTTCAACGTCATCGGCCACCGTGCCGAGCGCGAAGAGTATGAATAGGCTCAGAAAGGGGATAAATCGAGCGTTGCGGCGATGGAGTGTATTCATGGGAGGCTCCACTTCACAACTCCATCCATCAATGATAAACTTCCTTTGAACAAGGAGTATTGGGAGTCTGAGAAGCGTATAAGCAGTTGGACGGTTACATGGCCGGAGAAGAACCCGGAAAGGATAATGGAAGAGTTTTTTAATACAATTAATACGGATATGGGAGAAGCATATCAGCTTTTGAAGTTAGGAACCCGAGAATTAGATCCGGCTAGACTACCTCATAGCCGGACTACAGTTTTGAAGGAATTGCACCATATATGGGGCGCACGCGACGCGTCCGAAGTTCTCGACTTTTTCAATCACCTACCATTCTCTCACAATGAGAGCTTTTAGAGCTGGAGTAGTGAAAATTGATGTTATAACAGAGAGCATTCACCTGTGATCTGACGGGCTGTTTTGTCTATATTAGAAGCATTGTCAACTTATTTAGCCAAGCAATCTAGTATCAGTCGCAATACAATCAATTCAGCCTTCCAAAAACAATCCCTTTCTGGACAGCCATATCTCGCAGTCTCTTTCTAGAAAGCTTAACTATTCTATTAAGCGCTATATCTATCTACTGGTTGCCCGAGGCCTAAGTTTAGCTATAGAGCAATATATGTAAAGACACGATTCTGAAATCTGGGCTCTCAATCTTAACAGTAAGTTTTTGAGTAAGTTTTTGAGTAAGTTTTTGAGTAAGTTTTTCAAGTGAGTATTTAAGTAATATTATATAAGGATCACTTGCTGATTTACAGGTCTGGCGATATGTTGGTAGCTTGATAGTTCATACCGCAGAAGAAGTTGATGGTTTAATTCTATAACCTGTAAACTTCAGGTTGTATGTCGGACACTTAGCCGGTATAAAGATGCTTAAGTAATGACATGGGGAACCTATGCAGCATAATCGACATATAAACCGAAAGCATTTGAAATGGTGAAGAAAATTGAGTTTGAATTTGTTGCCCTTTTCGGATTTTGAATTTTTGGCTGTCTAATGTACCGCGATAGTCTCCATCTGCGCAACTTATTCATATCATTTCTCTAGGGGTCGAGAGCTATTTTAGGGGGCCTAAACTGCCTTCATATGATTCATGACTAGGGACCATTTTACTATTCCTAAATGAGAGATTTATATTCAGCAGCTCTCAAACGCCTTCATTTGAGCTCTGTCCTACCCATCTCAATAAGAGGCAGCCCTTGTTAAGTGGTTAATCAATTCTTTCATGGCATTCACTCGCAAGCTTGCATGAGGCAGAAACCAGCATTTAATTTAGTATACGACGCTTCTATGTGGCATATTTTCGATGTATAGGTCTTACCAGTACACGTGTATACACTTACACTTCGATCATACTTCGGATAATTCTTGTCATATAGTCTATTTATGTACCTGCTATACTGCTAATCTTTCCTAAGTAGTCACATAACCATGAACCGCCGAAGAATCTTTTCCTTTTTTTGTTTTTTCTTTTTTTTTTTTTTTCAGTATTCCGATCAGACAAGGGGACTATATCCACTGCATTAGTACCTACTGTATTATATCATTGCAATTATCTCTATATTTATCCCTTTTTTTT